GAGATTGAATCTTTACCCTCGGGGCTCCTCCAGAAACAATGAAAAGCCACTTCGTGTGGCCACGTGGAATGTTTGAACACTCACTGCGGAGGAGAGGCTGTCACTCCTCTGTCGGGAGCTGGACCGGTACCGCCTGGATTTCTGTGGCATTCAGGAGGTCCGGTGGACCGGTTCTGGCTCCTGCCACCATGAGGGGTGGACAGTCCTCTACTTGGGGCAGCAGACTGCCAAACAACAGGGTGTGGCTCTTCATTTGAACAAAATAATGAAGGGGGCGTGGGAGCGTGGCGGTGAGGTGTGGGAAGCTGTAAGCCCCAGGCTACTTTGGGCTCGCCTTCCCATCAACCGGAGGCGAGGAGTGGTGGTCGTGGTTACTTCTGCCCCCACCGAAGACGAACATCCGTGGAGGGATGCAGGCAAAGCCGATGAGTCAGATGCCTTATACTGTATGACCTCCTGTCACAGGTGTTGGCTAGAGTGGCCCCTCGGGATAGAGTCATCTTGTTGGGTGACTTCAATGCCCGAGTTGGTCATGATGCTGGCACCTGGTCTGGAGTGATTTGAGGGCATGGGCCAGATCAGCTCAATAACAACGGTAGGAGGCTGCTAGATTTTTGTGCAGCCCATGGGCTTGTAATTACCAACACGCTGTTCCGGCATCGGCGCATCCACACAACATCATGGATGCATGCCGGGTCCAAGCAAGAACATCTGCTGGACTACATAGTGACGGACTAGCAGATGCGAGCCCATGTCCTTGACACCAGGACCTACCGTGGAGCTGATCTGCTCTCTGACCATCGACTAGTCATCTGTAAGATGCGCCTGCCATTCTTCTACTCCGGTGGTGGGTATACACCCAGGACCCCATTCCAACCTAAAGTGGCCTGGTCTCAGTTAGCTGATGAAAGTTGCAAGTGGGAATTTCATCATCGCTTGCTGGGGTTGGGGTTGGCATTGTCCCCCCACTCCTCCTGATGTCGAGGGTAAATGGGCGAGGTTTAGGACTGTGACTCATGCAGCTGCAATGGCTGCTTTGGGTACGCGGTCTAGACCTCCCCAGAGACCCTGGCTGACAGAGGAGGTGTTCAGGATAGTTTAGAAAAAGCGACAGGCCCAATCTCATCGGCTACAGCATCCCACGTCAGAGAATGAGGAGGCTTACCGGTCAGGGGATGGCTCCCTATTGCTCAACCGCGTTATGTATGCTGATGATTTGGTAATTGCTGCTCATTCAGAGGAGGAGTTGGAGATGCTGCTGTTGAGACTGGAGCGTGCCACTAAGAGATGGGGCCTTCCCATCAGCCCCATCAAAACTAAGCACCTGCCTGGGTATTTTGTACCATCGGACACTCCACCCCCACAACTCCCAATCGGTGATGGGGCAGTTGTGGAGAGAGTGGAGAGTTTCCCATACCTGGGCAGTGTGCTTATGACCGACTCCAGTTTAACAGCAGAGGTCTCACTCCGAATCAGTCGAGCGGCAATATCTTTTCATCGGTTGCGTAACGTTGTGTGGAAGCTACCTGGTCTGTCGCTCCGCACTAAGCTTCAGGTCTTCTCGGCCACGGTCATTCCCTCCCTTCTCTATGCTTGCGAAACGTGGACCCCCTTAATGGAACATCTTCGCCGGTTAGAAATATTTAGGCTAGCCTGCCTACGATCCATCCTGGGTTTAACCAGGCTGGATTGTGTGAGTAGCTCACAAATTCTTGAAAGATCTGGGCAAGGTCCCATCGGTGAGCTCCTCCGGCAGGCAAGGTTGCGTTGGCTGGGTCATGTAGCCCGCATGCCCAGCCACCACATGCCAAAACAGCTTTTGTTCGGCCGGATCGACGGGGCTAAACGGGCGCGGCATGGGCTAGAGAAGAGATGGAGTGATGTGGTACAGGAGGACGTGGAGCTGAGTGGACTTGCCGATGACTGGCACCAGCGGTGTCAAGATCGGCCTCTGTGGAGGACGCTCGTGAAGGACGCTACTGGGCAGTTGGAGGCAGTCGCCCTCCAACAACAACGGAGGGCGGAGGAGTGACGCTCACAACAACGAGCGGAGCGCCGGGTGGCTAAAGCACAGCAGGTTGGCACAGTAGGGGGCACAGGTGGTGCATCAGCCAGTCATCTCAGTCAGTCGACTCGTGGCACCTGGGTCTGCCCCGTGACCTCCTGCCAGCGGGCGTTCGACACAACACGTGGCCTCAAGGTGCACATGGCCAGATGGGGGTTATGAGACCCGGTCGTGAAAACGATTCGGTGTTAGAAGGTTTAAACACACCGACGTTTAAACATCAAAATCGCGTTCACCATGGGCTGGGTGACGAACACCTCGACGTGTTGGCCAATAGCTCTCCGTGGACCTCAAAGGGAGGGGGGGGGGGGATACAACATCGGCAAATCACGTGGGCAGCAGCGGTCTTTCTTCAAAGTACATCGAGAGAGGTGGTCAATATGAATTGTAGATTGCACTTAACACCGTGGGCCTGATGAGACTTAAAAAAAAAACTAAAGTATTTATTATTAACAAGAAGATTCAGGTCGACAATGCCACAGAGGATCTGAAAGGGGGTTAGACGGGTGGTTGACCACCAGCACAACACACACATTGAGGATTATAGTGCAATAGAGACCTGCTGTCTTAAACCGCATGTTTCAATAAACCGTTTCAATAAACTCGACATGCCCCTGGTGTCTTCCTAAGCTCTGATGTCACTGTAGGGAAACAATGGAGGAGGGGGGGGGGGGGGGGTGCCTAAATGCCCTCATGAATGCTCTTAAGAATCACAGCCCACTGCAGGAGAGATCGTGAAGGGGTTCAATGTTTGGTGGTAAACGTCCTCCCTGTCCCTTAGTTTTGCACTCAGAGATGAGAATTACATTTAGAAATATTTTCTGAAGACCAATTTTTTTATTAGGCATAAGAATAGTGGCCGAATTGACTGAATAACAGACAGACCCTTCAACAATCAAAACAGTATTACTCAATAGACGCATTTATATTAAAGTGAAAATCATAAAAGACCGCTGGGTAGGAGGGCTCGGCGGAGATGACGTCATCTTACGTTCCTGTCACTGCCGAATAATTTGGTTTCTCAGGAGTGTTGAACTTCTTTCGCACCGTACGTAGCCAACCGTGCTAATCGGCAGGTGCGGGGGAAGGACAGCAAACCGAAGACAAAAACGTAGTTCTAAAGAAATTTGTTTTCAACCTCGATTTAAAAGTGCATAGCTCCAGCGGAGTCCTTTGTATCGGAAGGAAGAGCGCGTTCCAGGTGGCCACAGAAGCGCATCTGAAAGTTCCGCGCGTTCCGGTGAAGGCCTTTGTTCGATGGTCAGCTAGAAGTCGCTGGCAGGATGACGGGCGTTCGCGTGATGTTTCATGCTCCTTGACGAGATAAGCAAAGAATTGTGGTTCATTTGTGGCAAGCACTTTGTGTGTATAATCTAGAGGGTTTTTTTGGGTTAGATCGCTTAAATATAAATGTGCCAATAAACCCGCCACCACCCGACACAGCTAATTAGTGAGGTTTGTCACGTAAACAGAATATGACAATTCGTTGCTCAGATTGTAAATGTTGTGGCTTTGCTCTCCAACAAACCGGTGTGCTGTACTAGTAACGAATTGGCACGTTCTGTTTACGTGACCAAACTTACTAATTGGCTGTATTGTGTGGTGGTCTGGTTGAACGACACGTTTATATTTACGCGATCTAACCGAAAAAAAAACTATATTATGGATGATATTGGTCGCGAAAGCCTACGACGTGTGAAACGTCGTGAAGAAACTCTCCCCGTTGTTTCAACTGCCACGCCGAGCGATCACAACGAGCAGGTGACCTCTGGATTACAACCCCCCCCCCCCCCCCCCGGTGACCATTGCGTCACTGTCGAAGCGTGCCGACTGGAAGACAATTGAAAGAAAAACCACTGGAGCGCAATCATACGTCTAAAAAACAGAAACATCGCCAGGCAATTATCTATTCGAAACAAACACCATCGATTTAATACATTTGTCTGAGCAAAACATGTTTAATCAAGACTGATAAGAGTCTGTAATGATAACAGACATTATCAGCGCGTCCGAAAGATGCGGGGTGACTGCAACCCTCAGCAATGTCACAGCAGCCTGGACAGGAGCGGCCCATCCTGGCGTGTTTGCTTCAAGCCTCTGCTATTGCGATAGCTTCTTCACGCCCCATAGCACCAACGCAAGTGTAAGTGGGCCATCGGTCACGAATGCAATCTGGGGACCCCACATCGTAAGGAGTTGGTCACCCCCCCCCCCGCCCCATACCTCCGATACCCGCAAGATCGGCATTTCCCCAGCGCTCATTCAGACGAGCCTGACTGCTGACGAGACACTGCGGAGTCGAAACCGGTTTCGGAGTTGTTGCATTGTCTTGAAACGGCGCTGCTGAAGTTATCCACTCGACGTTGGTCGGGGAATCGTACTCGGGTGAAGTTAGTTAAATATAACAATCAAGCCGATATTTTTTTGTTATTTATTTCACAGAGATGGAATTCTGATATCCGAGCTGGCCTTTCGCCCCCCCCACCCCCCTCCAGCACACGTAGACCATTGTGGCGCAGTATGGCAAAGACAACCGCGATCACCGACACGGCAGGAGGGAGGGCTGGGGGTGGGCTTCATCCAGCAGCGGATTGACAAAGAGGCTGTAAAGTAAAACGCCAACCGCATGAGAAGCACAGCCATCGCTTCTTTACCTCTGCCAGAACCCGCAGTTGCTGCGCTGGATTAACACCCGCGACAACCACCCCTCGGTCTAGGCCTTCACCATCATCTTTGCACCGCATCCGTCAAGGACCTCTCTTGAACCAGAGCTCCATCAAGTAGCGTGAGGCGCCTTCTCCCCCCCCCCCCCCCCCCCCCCGTTGGAAAGTCTTGCAGGAGAGAGCTTGAAATGCGACGGCGCTAAACCCTCCCCGCTCAAAAAAATAAAAGCGAGCCACTGTTTGCAGAGGAAGGCTGCCAAAATGTCTGCAGAGCTGCCCCTAGTGCGCTTGACAGACCATGTCGCGTTAGCTCTGCGAGTTTGGCAGCGAGCGGTCCTTATTTAAGGAGGGGACGCCTCTGGTCCACGAGTGGAGCCGGCGTCCCGTACGAGCTGCGGATTCCACGTGGCGATGGGGACTCTGCGAGCATCGCTGTTGTTTCTCACCATCAGTGCGGCACTTGTGTGTAAGTGTCTCGATTTTTTTTTAAAAAATGAATTAACTCGTCGATGCATTCGTTTTGTAATTCACGTCTTTAGGAAAATGTCCGCTTCCGAGGTAATAATGTTTTTTTTAAATCTCTGTTTGTAGAGCACACTTTCGAAGCGCAAGGTTCGATGCCAATTCACACGAGTTAAGATCAAAACAAACATTTACAAAAGCCAAATGTACACAAAATAATAATCCACGTATATAAGGAGAAGACACAGCATTAAAAAAACGGTAAAATAATTGAGATGCCAAAATAAAATCGGGAGGCGAAATTATAGAAATGGGCTGGCCGCCTTCGGCCGTGATTTGAACATCGCCACCGTGAGGAGCAAAACCTCAGACGCGAGCGGGCAGAGAGCTCCACACTCGCGCTGTGCCAACACGAGAGGCAAAGGTTCATCGATTCACGTCAAGTTAATAATGCACGGTCAGAAAAGGCACTCGAAAACATCAATAAGAAAAAGTCCGCGTTGATTGTGCGTTGAGAGTAATTTTCTTGATGGGGTTTTTTTATTTTACAAAAAGCTGTCGTCAGTGAAGCAGTTAATTGCACAACTTTTGGAATTACACTGAAAGATACATTTCTCCGTAACGTATTATTTCATCTGGGCCTCCATTTCACGGGAATGTTTTACTCGTGATGCTGACATTTTAATGCTGTTCTTAAAATGAAGTTTAATAGATATATTTTGCAATGGTTCACAACTATGTATGTACAGAGGTTGAATTGTGCATTCAGCATTTGAGCATCGATATATTCCGATTTGCTTCGTCCATTATTTCATTGTTTCAGCTTATTGATTGCTTCTAATCGACAACCCACAAATGCGGCCAAAGTTGGAATAACTTTGGCTGAATTTGTACTTTGTGGAGTAGCTTCATTGCGAAATCGGGTTGTGAAAATGGTTGTTCAACTTACTTGTGAGCGGGGAAAAATAATAATTGGCACATTTGTTCAACGATTGTAGCCATGGAAATTTACATTTGTTTCGTTGTGGTGGGTGATGGAGTGCATCACCGCAAAGATTTGGCCCAGTCAGTACGTGTCCTAACCCAAAATCAATTGTGAATAATAACTCTGTACACACTTTGCTTGGGTACTTGGAATATTTTTTGCCTTCACGTGCAAGGAGCACATCACGGTTGAAAGGAAACATTCCTAATTTTACCAACTGTCGGCTTCCCAAATGTGGAAGGATCATTGTGGACAGGTCATAACAGTGCTGATTTGTAACAGTATTCACAAATATAATTTTCACACATCCCCCCCCCCCCCACTTTTGTGTATAAAGACATTCTCCCCCCCCCCCCACCTCAAGATCTTTGACGGAGTGATGTCAATTCCCCCAGCCCACTTGAAAATAGTGGGAGTCTCTCTAAGTGCATGCTTGATCATTTCCCCCGGATTTGACAGCGTGAGCGGTGAAGCTCATAACACTGATATCCTTAAACGTAACAGCCCTGCCCAACAGCCAACCACATTTTCGAGGACTGGCCCTGACTGCCCTCTTTTTTTAACGGTGGTGACTAGACGGAGTGGGGTTGGACTAACAGTGCAGGGCGTGAACTCGACGTAAGGACGTGGAACTTATTTTTTTCGCACCGTACGTCGCCGCCAATCGTGCGCACCGATGATGCGGTGCGCGTCCGTGCGGTCTTCCAGCTGCGGCTGACGGTGGCAAATGGGCACGAGCGGACAACGGCTCTCTAGCCAGCAGCAGCGTTGCCGTTGAAATAATCCCCACCAATGGTGTCACCCCGCTGAAAAAACGGACCAAGTACCCCAACTTCTTCAGTACTTCCGACGACGGTGGTAGGTCAGCACGCTCCAACGATTCGCTATTATTCCGCATGTTGTACTAAACTAAACTTTATTTTTTTTACCAGGTAAGGCCCACTGAGCTATACAGTTCTTTTTTCAGAAGCGACCTTGGCTATCACAAATGATAACTCAACAAAGTGGATTAACACGTGGAAATGTATAGCAACCGAATACTCTAAACCCGTGTTTTTAAATGTGGGGGAAAAAACCGGAGGACCCAGAGAAAAATCCACGTGACCACGGCGCGAAACATACAAACTCCAAATATACAGCAGGCATTAGGGTCGGGATTAAACCCACGACCTCCTGTGTACCAGGCGAGGTAGTTAACATCTCGCCACCGCAGAATCCCACCACGTTTGGGCGGCAAAGTGGGCAGGAGAACAAAGTATTGAGCTGTTGCGCCCGGATGGACCGGGAGATCGATCGATGTTCTGTCGCCAGCAGGTTCATGGCATTGAATCGTGCTTTTTCACTTGCCCATCCACACTACCTTGTTGGTCATGGGGATTGTTTGGCTAATGTGGTTTCTCACCATAGTAACCACATCGGCCGGGCGGGGGGGGGTTGAGTAAAACAAATGGGGGGGTGAGCTGGATTGATTTTGATGTAAATCAGCACTTGTTAGCTGTGGCCAGGATTCAAGGTGATTGGGAGCATAATGTAGCGCACTAACCACTGCCTCACTACTCTCCGAACTCAGAAAAAGAGTATTGTCGGTTTAAAAATGATCAGCGAGTTTCTAATAGAACATAAGAGTGGTCTGAATAGTGGATCAGCATGCTTGAGTATGAAATCGGGTTGCATGAGGTGTCAAGGTTGTTGACTTAGATCGCGTAAGTGTAAATGTGTCGAAACCCTCCACCACCCGACACAGCCAATTAGTAAGGGATTTGTCACGTAAACAAAGCGCCAAATAGTGACTACTTCTCCAACACACCGGTGGGCTGAAGTAGTGAACTATTTGGCGCTTTGTTTAAGTGACAAATCCTTTACTAATTGGCTGTCGAGTGGTGGAGAGTTTCGACATTTATGCTTATGCGATCTAACCCAAGAACCTTTATTATTAATTATATCGGTCGCGAAAGCCTACGTGTTAAACTGCATGAGGTGTGTCTGCAGGCATTACGATTAACAAGAAGACATGCTTAAGACCACACGACTGGACCACCTGTGCCAAAAATCTAGTATATGCATGCTGCAAAAAGTACCCGAGATCCTGCCTGGAGATAAAACAGACGACGCAATCAACCAAAGGTAATCCTGAAAACCATTGCATCCATTTATCTTCGGCGTCGGGGACGTGGCTGTTCTGTTCGGTAACAATTCCATGTCCTGGCATTCTTCCCGCGAATGGCTGAGGCTCCCTTTCTTGTCCTCTTTGCCAACTCATTCCTCGTCCCGGGCCTTCTGCACATCGATGCTATCGGAGGCCCCCATGCACAGGGGGCACAACGACTTATTTCAACGGGGGTGGGTGGCTATGCAAGATACGACTGTGCTCACCCATCCCTCCTTTCTCCCAACTCACTTGAACTGAAATCGCTACGGATCGTTTTTTTTAAACTCCTTGAAATAAATATATAGGCTATAGCTACATATTATTGTTCTCCTATATTAATTTTTTTAATAGTTTTTTTTTACTTATCATGGGACCTTTTTTGCCAGAATCAATGCATGCAAACTGCATAATAAGTTTTACTCTTTCTGGCAATAATACAAAAGTGGTTCAGATGTTCAAACACGCAATAGAAACCTGCAGCGAGGAATAAAGTCTTCATTAACCACACACAGTACTTGTGGTGAACATGCAAACACACATGCTCTGATAGTACACGCATTGTCTTTGAAACTGATTGGTCTACACCAGAGACAGCCTTCTTTATGGCCGAGTCTCACTACCAGTGTCAGAGCAGGGAACAACGCAGAGGTGAACAGCACAAAGACGAGGCACTGTCAGAGCATTTATAGCCCGGGGTGAGCAGATATATCATGGAAACTTCTATTCTTAATTTTCATAAAATGTGTGCAACTTACATTATGAGACCTCCTTTGCCAGTAACAAGATATAGTAATAGGTTTTACCCTTTTAACTGGCACAAAAACTGACACCTTTATTCAAGGCATCATGTTTGCAATAACCACAACACAAGCAGTCAAAATGCAAACAAAAAAGACAACTGATAATAATATGCACTGTCCTTGAATTTGATTGGTCCACACCCGAGATGGCTTTTCTTAGAGCCTAGTCTCCACTGGTCCAACACCAGTTGTCTCTTTTGTTTGCATTTTGACTGCTTGTGTTGTGGTTATTGCAAACATGATGCCTTGAATAAAGGTGTCAGTTTTTGTGCCAGTTAAAAGGGTAAAACCTATTACTATGTGTGCAACTTGTTTATCTGTTGTTTAGGGGGCCCCCTTTGTGGCCAGCTGGGGTCTTGTGTGCTTCGCATGACGCTGCTACCACATAACCCCCCCCCCCCCCCCCCCCCCCATGGTTGCACTCCTTGCCCCTGTGTCTCACTCTCTGGTCACGATCTTGTTCTCTCTCGATGCGCATTGTATTCACGCACAGATGGCATCTACTCGCTGCAGACGAAGGAAGGAAAGCTCTACCAGGCGTTCTGCGACATGCACACCAAGGGAGGGGGCTGGACCCTGGTCGCCAGCGTCCACGAGAACAACATCGCGGCCAAGTGCGCCATCGGCGACCGCTGGTCCAGCCAGCAGGGCAGCAACGCGTCGCCGACCTTCGTGGATGGTGACGGGAACTGGGCCAACGTCAATGTCTTCAACAAGATCCATTCCGCCACCGACACCGATTACAAGGTCAGTGCTGCCCGCCGTTCTTGCGTTTGCCAGGTACAGGTATCGAACGGACATCCAATGGCGACGTCCCGGACTCGTTTCTATTGTTGGATCCCACCGCTGAAGCCGTTTGGTGTCACGGCTCTCCGAAAACAAATGGAGAATTGTGACTCAATGAGATTCTGGCATGACCCTTCATGCCGGATCCGTTCACCGCCTTTGTAAGTGGTACAACAAAGGAAACACTGACCAAACCCTAGAGCACATTCTAAGCCCGAGAGCGCATTTGTAAAGAGCAGAGCGAATTGCAAGCCGCAGGACGCATTTCCAAACGTAGAGCGCATTGCCAGACGTGGACCACATTGTCAACTCCTGATAAGTTTGCAAATACAACTGAAGCAGCAGCAGGAAGAGGGACACCAATGGCCATCGCTTGGCTTTCAAACTTGAATATCGATATTAAAGTTGCTATTCCCCAAGCCACCGCACACGCGAACAATCCAAATTACTCGATCACCTCTTATTGCCACGTCGTCGAGTTAAATCAAACACTCTGGCCGCCGCTGTAAGGGGAAAAAGTCCCACGCTAATGTGGACAGCTGTTTTGTTGGACAGCTGCGCAATCATTGTGTAAAATCCACGTGCCAAATCGACCATGGCCATATACCAGTCGATTAAACCTGATCCAGGGCAATCTGTCCCAGCCGGGGCCTATGAACAAGTGTAACTGACTTGTAACGGGCACGTAAAGCGGTCTAATAGCCCAGTCCCGGGATTCCTGCCAATATTTAATTACGAGCCACTTTGGACACGCTTTCACTCCGACGTTTTTCCAGGACCCTACAGACGCAACAATGTCCTGCCTAGTCCGTAATTTTAATCTATTTCTTGGAAAAATGTTCAACGTTATGTCACACATTAAAAGCAAATTTATCTGCGTGCTGTATCACATGCGATGATACCCCAGGCCTACTCTAACCACCGATCTATTAACCCTAGGTCAGTGTCTGTGATCAACCACAGGAATTACTGACCCAAATGGACTGGGTGACTTTCGCAATCTGAAAATTGTGCCACAGATCCAGCGTTACAGCACCCACATTCAAAGTAGATATATCTGCGTGCTGTTCCACATGAGAGTATGCCTGAGGCCTCCTATAACCACCGAGTTATTAACCCAATGTCAGTGTCTGTGACCAACCCCAGGAATTACTGACTCAAATGGACCGAGTGACTTTAATAACCAAATAATTGTGCTACAGACCCTCTATGTTCAATTCCAACGACATCCCATTGATGCTGGACAATGTTTAATTTACAATTAGCAGCACAGAACACACAAGTTCAAATCCTCGTTGAGTGTTCACATGCCCTTTGTCCTCCTTGGGGTCAATACAATCAATACCTCAGTATTGAAAGTTAACAGTGGTTGTGACATAGAGTGACTGGCAACCACCATGGGAATATGGAATTTATGATATTGTCCATTTAAAACGATCGTGGTGGAGCAGAATGTTTTTTTTTTAAGTTGGTGTATTTGTCACTGAGATTTGTTTTTGTTTTTCTCCTTGAGATTGTAGTTTTGATGACAGGCTCAGCTGCCACTCGGATGGGTCCAGGCGCATTAGAAAAACACAACAATGATAACATTGTTGTGTCATTTTTTCCCCTGGCCGATCCGAGAATCGGACGGTGTCTCCTGGTGTACTGAAGCGTTTGCAAAGAAAAAGAAACCCAAAATAATTTTGTCCCAGTTGAACTTTTTTCTCAGTTGATTCTTTTAGTTCTAACCTCATGGTCGACAGTATACGCAAAGAGTGGAGGGGGATACGCTGAGTGCTAGTAATGGGAGGAGCCATGAAAATAGTGGGCGTGGCTACCTGAACAGCAGGTGGCGACGGGGCGGCCAATGTCAGAGCTACTCACTGTGGGGGAGGGGCTAGTGGGGGAGTGGGCGTGGCTATGTGAAAGTGGGCAGGGCTTAAAGAGAGAGTGGCTGGCAGCTCACAATGTACAGGGACTCCTCTACTTACGAACGAGTTAGGTTGCAGAGGTCTGTTCGTATGTATATTTGTACATAAGTCCAACTTTAGCCCCGTCGATTCCAAACACGTTGAACAGTATGTACACCAAACACGGAGAATGGCTTTAAAAGTTGAATAATCTCCTGTAGATGTAGATTCCACTGGTTCTTCACGTTCTGCAGATGTAGATGCCACCACCGCCATCTAATGCTCAGCGGTTGAACGACTCTCCATCCGAACAGACGACTGGACATACGGACAGGTTTGTTTGTATTCTTAGTTTTTTCGGTAAAGTCACGTTGAAGAGAAACAACAAAATAACAAAATATATATAAAACAATAAAAAATTCGACCATAACTCAAACGGTCATCATCAGGTGTGTCGGTATGCAACCGACACACCTGATGATGACCGTTTGAGTTATGGTCGAAACGTCGTGAGAATTTTTTATTGTTTTATATATATTTTGTTGTTTCTCTTCAACGTGACTTTACCGAAAAAACTAAGAATATGAATTACTGCAGTCACGAAAGCTTTAAATCAAAGGTTTGTTTGTGTTTCTGAAAGTTTGTAAGTCGAATGTTCTTAAGTAGAGGAGTCCCTGTATGTAGATTAAGCCTCCCAAATGTTTTTTTTTTTAATCCGTCTCATGCCATTTTTGTGTCATGCGTTCAGAACGAGGGATACTACGACCTTGACGCGGATGATATCGCGATATGGCACGTCCCAAATGGGACACCGTTGCTCCAGTGGAAGCAGTCGGCGATCCTGCGCTACCACACGGAAGTCAGCTTTCTGGAACCCCTCGGGGGGAACCTTTACTCCTTATACAAGGTATGTACGGTGTGAAATAAGTTAAACATACATACATATATAATGACAACTTGACACACTTCTCTTGAGATGGTATTTTATTGAAGACACGTTCACTTGACACAGGCGGAGACCCCCACTGCAACATCCCCGAGTTTCCCGCGCATCTCCCTTTTATACGTACCGAGGCCACGTCCCCCTTCTCAATCATTCTCGCTGACTCTGGACGCTCGCTCCACCGGCAGACTCCACCGTCCTCTTCCGTCACCTGACCCCGCTCCCTTCTCGATCATTTCCGTAGCCACCAATCCCTTCACACACACAGCTGACTCCCCTGTCATTACCTCCTGTAGCCACCAGTCCCTTCACACTCACAACTGATTCCCCTGTCATTACCTCCCGTAGCCACCAGTCCCTTCACACCCACAGCAGACTCCCCTGTCATGACTTCCCGTGGCCACTAGTGCATTCGCACTGTAGGCTGACTCCCCTGTCATTACCTCCCGTGGCCACTAGTCATTACACATACATGACCCCATGCGCTCGTGTGCAATTGCCCACGATGTTTTGGGCAGTTGTGGATTTTGGGCGAGGAGGCAGGGGGGGTTACATGTGGAGCATGTATCTGAGCTCCGTGTGCACACAAAGACAAAGATCCCCTGTATATCCTTAACATACTGTTGGGGCAAGTGCTGTTAGCAAGCACCTATGAAGGCCGGAACAGCACACAAATGGGTGGGTGGCCAGCACCAGGCCCGGCCGCCTTTGTCTCCCAAGTGGCGATGTTTACACACATCACCAGGTACTCATTTGAGGCTGAGTTGACCTAGGCGAGGCCTAGAACTGGTTCGGAAAATCGCCACTGGTGTCAGCCGTGAGCGGGAACTCGGGTCGCCGGGTTCCGTAGCGCAGTGCGATAACCACTACACTACCGCTCCCCATATGTACCAACACACAGTGCCAATACACACACACGCTCACCTGCAAGTCACGTGTCCGCGTACGTGTGTCTGGAGGAAGGGGGCCTAAAGTACCACCCAGTCACCCACCTGCCCTCAGCCAATCACGATCCAGCAGCGCTCTCAATGCCACTGTGACCTCATGTTCATGATCTAATTTAGTTTTTCCCCGAGATTCACAAAATAGTATCTTCGCGATCCGCAGACGGAACACAATCAATGTATTGGACACTGTTACATTATTTAGTGTTGCTTTGTAACTAGTGATTAATAACACGTTTTAAAATGCTTCTAAATGCTGATATAGCCGAATAGTTACGTAAATTTGATCTTTGTTGTTGTTGTTAAAAAAACATGGTCAAATACGCCAATGTCTCTACAATACATTTTATCTCATGCATAAAGTAAGAGATTCATGCTTACAGGTAATGGACAGCATTGAGGTGAATGGATCGGGGTTGGGTTTAGGTTTACGGGTTAGGGGAGAGGCCTTAGAATTAAGGTTGGGGTGAGGGTTTACGGTTTGCTATACCAAAAGTTAATTTTTTTACACAAATCTGCAGGGACAGTAGTCTCGTCCTTGTTAAAATCTAATTGTTTGTACTGTTTATATTGCAGAATTTCTACCCATTGAAGTTCGCTTCAGGCGTCTGTCAAATCAATAATGGACCTTTTTACCCAATAGTTTACGATTTTGGAAACAACAATGTTGTCAACTCACTCATCTGCCCTAACTGTATAGGTGAGTGACTATTACCGAGCGTTTGACTCGTCAAAATTGGGTTCACGCACGAAACATGTTACACGTTCGAAATGAAGAGACGAGGGACTTCATATTGATGGCACCACATTCATTTGTAATGTCTGTAAAACACAACAATATGCACAGTATATCACGCTTAGCAGGTCTACAGCAAGGCTCCATTTTCCATGCTGCTGGTGTGAATATAGGCAGTCCCCGAGATACCAAAGTCCGACTTACGAATATCCATACTTATGAACGAACCGCAATTAGACTTATTATTTTTAACCATACGACTTGTGAACGATCGGTCGTACTTATGAACCGAATCGCGGAACTATTTAGTTCGGCGTAGCGATCCTCTGCGGGAAGCACAGCATGCCAGCATCAGGACTCAAGGTAAGTGAAAATAAAACGTATTTTATTCTTTTCATGTTACTTTATTTTACGCGTTATTTACTAAACAGTATTTCATGCAAGTGTACAGTATCTCTTCTTATTCTTGAGTTTAACAATGCTTCCTTTTATTGTTAAACAGTAACACATTTTATAACTGACCGTTCGTACAATTATATATTGAGTTCCGAAATATGAACAAATCGATTTGCGAACGGGTTTCAGGAACGTAACCCGTCCTTAAGTCGAGGATGGCCTGTACATTATTGTCTTCCGACTTACGAACCGTTCGACTTACGAACGGGTTGCAGGAACGTAACCCGTTCGTAAGTTGAGGACGGTGTGTACATTATTGTGTTCCGACTTACGAACAGTTCAACTTACGAACGGGTAACAGGAACGGAATTCGTTCGTAAGTCGATGACCGCCCGTATACATTTCGTGGTTCTTATACATTCGAAGGTTGATATATCAACATAAAGCACTCATGTATATTAGTATAGAAGTGCAAATTATTTAGTATCAATCAACCTATGATTTGGTACCTGCAATGGTTGATGTTTCACAATCACAGCTGTAACAGGAAATGTTCTGTTCTTGAAATCGTTGCGAGTGACGCGACAGTTTTTTCAGGCAGGCACTTCATTCCAGGTGATTTTATAATTCAAGTATAGTGTCTACTGCTACAAAAAATAAGCACAAATATATTTGAGCATAGTGTAGATACATAACACTGTGTAACAAAAAGTTCCTGGGTACTAAGTGTCAATTTCCAATTGCTTATGCCTCAAACGTACAGAAAGTGGCTTATTGCCCACAAACTTTTATTTTGTGACCAGGACAGTGCTATTTTGAAATGTACATGTTTTCAATGAGAAAACGTGGTGTGCATTTGTGTCATTCCTTCACATAAAGTCATGGTCACAAAAGCAAAGTTTGTGGGGAATAATAGCCATTTTTCTTCTTTGGTTCTTTCGGTAAAGTCACGTAGAATAAGAATAAAATAATAAATTGATAAAATAAAATAACACAATAAAATTCTCACGACGTTTCGGCCACAACACAAGCGGCCTTCATCAGGTGAAGGGACGAGACTGTCTGGAGGACAGCGCTGGAGCGAAAAAGCCACGCTCAGATCGCGACCTTTAAGCTGTGTGAGAAGAAACAGAGCGCCTTGACAAAGGAGTTAGCATAGAATTTAGCATTGAAACAGCTGAGTGATTAGCTTGTGACTGGTCACAGAAATGGCTATGTTAAAGTTAAAGCATACACATCCGCAGAGGCACCCCTTGACAAAGGAATTAGCATAGAATTTAGCATTGAAATAGCTGAGTGATTAGCTTGTGACTGGTCACAGAAATAGCTATGTTAAAGTCAGAGCATACACATTCACAGAGGCACCTAGTACAAATCAAACAGGAGAATTTAGCATTGAAATAACTAGGAGAATTTAGCATTGAAATAACTGAGTGATTAGCTTGTGACTGGTCACAGAAATGGCTATGTTGAAGTCAAGGCCTACACATCTGAGCTATTCACAGTAACTGGGTATACACTACAATATATAATGAATACTATATAGTGAACCAATAAAAAAAAAGAACACTTAACATTGACAGCAACAATGTCTACATCGGATTGGGAACATGTAGACAATATGACTACCTCTTCGGCTGCCACTATGTCGACCAAATGTAGGGACAATTTGATTTCCAAATTCAATCACCTCTCCAACAAAAAATCGGATCCACACACCGAAAAGATAGACATCAACAAAGTCGTAATTAATCGCAGTAACAGTTCCATTTCTGATGGTCTGAAATCCGTTCTGGCTAAAGGTCTAAACTTTGCTGTCACACCGAGACACATACCGGTTAATGATATCATTGCCCATGTCGACGTTGCACTCAAGGGCTTGAGTCACATCTCTGCAGACGTAGCAAGATCTGAAATCGCTGCAACCCTAAAAAACGCTAAGTTGCCACCCAGCAACATCAGCAAAGACGAACATTTTGAATTATCTCAATTTAAAAAGAGAGATGATATTGTCGTCCTCTCAGCCGACAAGGGCAATGCCACTGTCATCATGGACAAAACAGAATATAACAACAAAATTCAAGAACTACTCAACGATGGCAGCTATACAAAAAAAAAACGAGATCCCACCAACAGCCTGGTTACCAAAACAAACAAAATCATCTCTGATTCAACAGCATTAATTGATGAGACCAAACAGTTCTCGTTGAAACCCTCTGCTGCCAGACCACCAAGATTATATGGCCTTCCAAAGACACACAAAGAAGATACACCCCTTCGTCCCATCGTCTCTACTATCAACTCCCCCACCTATAAACTGGCACGTTTCTTGCTGATATACTGCGACCTTTCACTGGAAAAACCACCTCTGCGGTACTAAATTCTACTCACCTGGTATCGACAATCAAAGGCATTTCCCTGTCCCCAGACGACCTGCTTGTCAGTTTTGATGTGGTGTCCTTGTTCACCAAAGTCCCGGTACCTGACACCATCGCTATCATTGAAGACCTGGTTCATCAAAAACTGCATACTGATGTACCCCCCCTGGTGAGACATTGCTTAACCAATACATACTTCACCTGGAATGGAACTTTCTACAAACAAACTGAGGGCACCCCAATGGGCTCCCCCCTATCTCCGGTTGTAGCCAACGTATTCATGGAAAATTTTGAAACTGACGCCATCCAGACTGCCACTCTACGCCCAACCTTATGGAAGAGGTACGTGTATGACTCCTTTGTCATCTGGCCACATGGCCAGCCTGCTCTAGACCAATTCCGCGACCACATCAATTCCATACACCCAGCCATCAGATTCACCATGGAGGTCGAAAAAGATGGCAAACTACCCTTTTTGGATGTCTTAATTAAAAGGAGACATGATGGTTCAATGAGCCACTCTGTCTACAGGAAAGCTACCCATACAGATGCTTACTTGAAACCGGATTCCCACCACCATCCATCCCAGAAGAACTCCCTCATCAAGACTCTATACCATAGAGCCCAATGCATTTCCGACCAGGAACACATTACCAGTGAACTCAAGCACGTACACCAGGCTCTCAGGGCTAATGGTTACTCCGACTACACAATCCGCAAAGCCACCACTCCAGTCATGAAGAAGGATCCTCTTGTGGAGCCACTCAAAACCATCACCTTACCCTACATTGCAGGGGTCACTAAAAAGATCTCCAAAATCCTGAATAAACACAAGATCCAGGTCCGATTCAACACAGTACATAAAATCCGTGATCTGGTTCCATCTGTAAAAGAAACTGTTCCAGACATACAGTACCTGGGCGTTTACAAACTAAAGTGCCTCTGTGGTAGTAGCTACATTGGAGAAACCAAACGACATATCTCGGACCGCATCCGCAAACATAAAGCAGACTTGAAACACGGTAGAACGAACTCCTCTGCTGTGGCAGATCACTGTTATAATTCAGTGGGCTCACATGACATTGACTTCTCCAAGACGGAGGTTCTTTGCAAACCAACCAGCTACCATGAGAGATTCGTTCATGAGGCCATTCACATATACAAGCACAGAGACAATTTCAACCGAGAAGATGGATTCTGGATTAGTAACCATTGGAAAGATGTTTTAAACCATTTCCATTCTTAATTAATTGTATTTTACGATGACCTTCAGACCACAGCTCTTTCGCTGACATTGACTCTTAATACCTCTCACACCACGGTTAATGGTATGGTTTACAACATGGAGTATAACAGCGCCTCGCAGCTGTCTCTCTCCCCCTCCTCTGTTCCGACCATGGTTGAACTCGTCCGTCTGAACGGGGCCCGTAGCTATCCGTGTTGCTAAAGTTGAGGGTAAGAATCCACCCATTTTTTCGCCATATAGCATTGTGATATATAACAACTTAGTGTTGGTAACTTAGCTGATTGGAGAATATATAGAGTTTATTGATAACATTGAGGTAATTTATATTTTAGTTTTTTATTGGTTCACTATATAGTATTCATTATATATTGTAGTGTATACCCAGTTACTGTGAATAGCTCAGAAGTGTAGGCCTTGACTTCAACATAGCCATTTCTGTGACCAGTCACAAGCTAATCACTCAGTTATTTCAATGCTAAATTATCCTAGTTATTTCAATGCTAAATTCTCCTGTTTGATTTGTACTAGGTGCCTCTGTGAATGTGTATGCTCTGACTTTAACATAGCTATTTCTGTGACCAGTCACAAGCTAATCACTCAGCTATTTCAATGCTAAAATCTATGCTAATTCCTTTGTCAAGGGGTGCCTCTGCGGATGTGTATGCTTTAACTTTAACATAGCCATTTCTGTGACCAGTCACAAGCTAATCACTCAGCTATTTCAATGCTAAATTCTATGCTAATTCCTTTGTCAAGGTGCTTTGTTTCTTCGCACACAGCTTAAAGGTCGCGATCTGAGCGTGGCTTTTTCGCTCCAGCGCTGTCCTCCAGACAGTCTCGTCCCTTCACCTGATGAAGGCCGCTTGTGTTGTGGCCGAAACGTCGTGAGAATTTTATTGTGTTATTTTACTTGATCAATTTATTATTTTATTCTCATTTTACATGACTTTACCGAAAGAACCAAAGAAGATGAATCCTTGCAGTCACGAAAGGTTTAAATCGAAATAGCCATTTTCTATACTTTTGAGGCGTAAGCATTTAGAAAATAACACTTACTACCCAGGAACAAAAATCGTGTTACATAGTTTAATCAGTGTCGCATACCACCCTACTATGACATGTCGTTCAGACAAAAATCGTCACGAACAAAACATTAAAACCGATATTAAAACAGGCACAATGAGAGACAGAAAGAAGAATACGTGGATCCGAGAGCACACGCAGGGACGTTTAATGAGCCTAGGCAGACCATTTCAATGGAAGGGATATTGGCAGATGGTCACGAATGAAGACAGAGTAACAGCCATCTCGTCTCGTCGTAATTTACATAGCGCCTTGAGTAAGGCGCATCTACAAAGCATCAACAACGGTATGTTTGAACGTAATGGTGAAGACGAGGTGAATACAATAAGACGAGAGGAAGCGATGGGCGGACCGGTGACACGTGAATTAAGTCAAATCTTTTTTACACGAGAGCAAATGTCGATGAATGCATTGAATGGACGGGGAATGAGTGGTCGCCATGGAGAGATAATATGAAGGAAGAACAGTAATTGTAGTGGTTAGAATGGGGAGAGATTAGGGGGTCTTGGGATGAACGAGGATTGATCCACTGAGGAATTACCCCTCTTAACGACCACCCCTGTTAACGACTAATCACTTAACGACAGGCCTCCATACTGCCCAATGTGTCGTGTATAGTAGTGGAGTGTATAGAGTAGTGTAGTGTATAGAGTAGTGTAGTGCTCCATAGAGACCAATGTGTTTACTTACCGACTATTCCCCTGTTAACGACGGGCTGTTGTAGGTATAGCAAATATGAATGAATGCATTGATTAACCGTGTCTATATTAATGTGTTTATAATCTTGTTAGTATCTGTATGTATTGATATCCATTGTTTAAATAGCAGAAAGTAATTTTTTTCAGTGAAAAATGGTAACTGTCGCTGCGATCTGAACGAATTATGCCTGTAACGTGCATCTCCTCTCCTCGTTTAATTACCAAATCGCTGAACGACCGGTTTTGTTGAACCAATTACCGTGGTTATTAAATCAGGGTCGAGGTGGATTATTGCGTCGTAGAAATATGAGCGGGTGACTGAGGACTCCTTCATCCAGCAGTAGATCGACCGTGACTAACGAAGATCCCCGCCCCCCCTCCCCCCACTACAACAGGTGAAACACGGCCAGGGTTTGTGCAGTTCCGAGTGTTCAACACGGAGAGAGCCCCATTCGCCATCTGCTCCGGGGTCATGGCTCTCAAGTGCAACACCGAGCATGTGAGAGGCGCATTCGCACCATCACACAAATTGTGTTCAGAGTGATGTCATGTTACACTCGCCCCATACGGTAAAGCAGAGCCTGGGGGAACAAACGCACACCCCCCCCCCCCGTCACCTCATTTCATAGGGCCATAAACACCTCAAAAATAGGCCTGTGAAAGGCACACATCCATCATTGGTAACGTCTTGCAAATTCTCCAACTGGCACCACTTTGCGTTCTGTGAGTTTTGCCAGCACTCAGTCTGTCTGTGAACGCGAGCCCTATTTTCGTTTTTTTTGCATTGTTATTTGATAACACTCAGTTGTGTGTTAATGTGCGGTTGGATCAACGGAGGCGTTGGAAAGTCTTCTTCTGTACTCAGTAAAGAAATGGGTCTCCACCACCTCTGCTGTATAGCAGTTGTACATACCGGAGACTCGATTAATTATCCACGCTAATGATGGCAAGGATGGCCACGGTTAATCCAAAAATAGAACCATTTAACGCGGATCTCTTTGCCAAAAAAACACGAGTATATGTATAATTAATGAAAATTCCGTATGCTAATGAACAAAAAAATGTGTAGGAAAGAATATATTACTTTTGTTTAATTACTAAAGTCCATACGAAAACACACGCACAGTTTCGCAAATTAACACTCACAAAATACATGATCGGATAAAGCACTCAAAATTAAGCACAACTGTCGATTTCTACTGTTACTCTTTCAACTTATAATGAATACTAACGATCGCAGAAGACTCGGCCCACCAAGTGGGTGATAGCAGAGCCACGCCAATCAACATCAATCAAACTGCGCCCACTGTTGTAAAGATATGCTACTACTGTACTGTAGAGGCAATCACGGGTATTTTGGACTAACAGGAGCACATATTTGTTCGGTTTAGGCACGTGGCTTGTAAAAAAAAATTCCAAGAATAACACTGTGAGCCTGTTTTTTGAATATTAATTCGTGCTTAAGGGAGAATCCATGAGTTATTAATTTATGTCAAAATCTCAGGTGCACGGTTAATCCGCAAATTGGGTAAACCGCACACGGATACATCTTCTTTGGTTCTTTCGGTAAAGTCACGTAAAATGAGAATAAAATAATAAATTGATAAAATAAAATAACACAATAATATTCTCACGACGTTTCGGCCACAACACAAGCGGCCTTCATCAGGTGAAGGGACGAGACTGTCTGGTAGGACAGCGCTGGAGTCATTTTATCAATTTATTATTTTATTCTCATTCTACGTGACTTTACCGAAAGAACCAAAGAAGATGAATCATTGCAGTCACGAAAGCTTTAAATCGAAATCGCACACGGATAATCGAGTCTACTTAGGCGAAGCCTTAGGAGTGGGCGATGAGGATGGTCACTCACGAAAAACTGTTAAGGGCACGCAAAAATCTATGTATATCTATGATCACAGAGAACCGGATACCTCAGACCGTGCAACGTGTCGTGAACGACTGCCCCATCGGCTCATTCAACAGCGATCTGAAACATATTCACGTGGTACACTTTGGTTCTTTCGGTAAAGTCACGTCGGTATAAAATAAAATCCAGGTGGATTTAACTCTTCCAGTGGAAGGGATATCAAATCTCAACATCAAATTTGTAATTTGTTGCAATCCCCCAAAGAATGCCGTATGAAAGAAGAAGGCAGATAACTTTTATTTTTTTGTCACTCAAATGTATGCATGCGTCCTAAAAGTGTGGATATTTTGGGTAGCACACACGTCATTTGACATTTAACGAGTGACAACAAAAGGTAGGCTTGCTGCAGTGGATGGCAAATAAAGAGTTACACAACTGCCTCCATTAAAAACACTTCAAAACACGAAAACAACTGCGGAAATTAACCGTTTACATTTACTTAAAGAAAACGCGGACGCTGAGTCACCGACCCTCACCTAATAACAAAACCGGTATCTGCATACATGGTTCTTACACATTTTTTTAAACATGGTACAACCCAGAAAACCTGTTCACGGATAACCGAGTGGTTAACCTTATAACCGAGAGGTTAACCGTACACAAACGCCGATCTCAGACTCCGCTCTTCGCCAATTTCTCAGCCATGTCGATGTGTGACTGTGCTGATAACTCTGTGACTGTTGTTTGTCGTACGTCGTGTGATTTCTTTAATATTTTATCCATACTAACTATGTCGGGCAAAAGAAGAAAGTGGTCGGATGAATATGTACAACATGGATTATCATGTATCACGGAACGTGATGGGAGTGAGCGTCTATCTGCATGATTTGCAACGCCAAGTTGAGCCAATCTAGTCTTGCACCGGCAAAACTAAAGGAACACTTCTTGAAGCTGCATGGAGACGGGGAATACAAGAAACACAACACTTGCTGAATTCAGGGTGAAGAGAGCCAGATTCGATGAAAGGGCCACTCTGCCTGCTCTTGGATTTGTACCTGTTAACAAACCGATCCTGACAGCATCGTACGAAGTTGCTTACCTGATCGCAAAGCAGGGCAAGCCACACACAATTGGTGAAACACTTGTGAAACCAGCTGCATTAAAGATGGCGAATATGATACTCGGAACAGCGGCCGAAGGTAAATTATCCCAAATTCCCCTTTCAAATGACACCGTCAGTGACAGAATAGAAGACATGAGTAAAGACATCTTGGCTCAAGTAGTCGCGATCTGATTTCAAGCCCGGCAAAATTCAGCCTTCAACTCGACGAACCACAGACGTTTCTGATCTAAGCCAGCTTGCTGTTTTTGTACGCTATGTGAAAGACGACATGATAAAAGAAGAGTTTTATTTTGTAAGCCTCTTACAACAACACGAAGGCAGCCGATGTGAAGAAGCTTGTGGATGACTTCTTCAGAGACAACAATCTTTCATGGGATATGGTTTCTGCAGTTTGTACGGACGGAGCTCCAGTCATGCTGGGAAGAAAGTCTGGTTTTGGTGCGCTAGTAAAGGCCGATGCACCACCATCATTGTGACGCATTGTATTCTGCACAGGCATGCGTTGGCAACAAAAACCTTACTCTCCAAAATGGCAGAAGTATTAAAAACTGTGGTGGAATGTGTGAACTATGGGCGAAAAAGTGCTCTGAGGCACCGCATCTTCAGTGAGCTGTGTAAAGAAATGGGCTCTGAATTTGAGGTACTTCTGCTCCATTCTAATATTCGGTGGGTTATCCCGGGGACACGGTGCTGAATCGTGTTTTTGCCATGCGTGTGGAATTAGCCCTGTTTTTGCAAGAGCACCAACCACTGCCATGCAGATTGCTTCAAAAATCCTGAGTTCATTCTCATTTTAGCGTACATGGCTGATATATTCGCAGCTCTCAATCATCTCAATCAGCAGATGCAGGGTGTGGAGTCAATATCATGGAAGCGGAAGAACACCTGAAGGCTTTCAAAAAAAGCTACCGTTATGGAAACGACGAACAGAGAACAATAACTTCGCAAACTACCCGCTTCTGGACGACTGTGCAAGTAAGATCGAAGATGTGTCTGGAATCGGAGATATTTCTGTATCCACGGAACTGAAGCAAAACAATTGCCACGCACTTAGATGAGCTTGCAAAGTCTCTCGACGGATATTTCCCCTACAAGAGAGTCATATCCAGCATGGGTGAGACAGCCGTTCACGTTTGCTGTTGAAACAGCAGATGTCCAATGATGAATTCCTCGACGAAATCATTGAAATTCAGCAGATCCAGGTTCAACAGCAACTCTTCAGAACAACAACGCTCTCAACGTTTTGGTGTCGACAAATGAACAAGTATCCAGTTATTGCTAAGAAAGCCCTGGATTTTTTTATACCATTTGTTACAACATATCTTTGTGAGCAATCCTTTTCGAGGATGCTGGACATAAAAACGAAGAAAAGGAACAGACTTTGCTGTGAAAATGACATGAGAGTGGCACTTGCCAAGGTGAAGCCACGCATATCTGAACTGATCTCTCAAAGGCAACAGCAGAAGTCACATTGATTTCCAGGTATGTAATTTGTTGTGAGTTTATGCATTGTGTTGGTTTTATTCTTTTGAACAAGGTAATTGTTCATGCACGCTCATTGTGTGTACCAGTAAAAAAACCCGTGCTCGTCTCTCTGCAGTACTGCATCGGCGGCGCGGGATACGTTCCGCAGCAGTCTCCGAGACAGTGCGGCGACTTCTCCGCCTTCGACTGGGACGGCTACGGGACGCAGATTAGCTGGAGCGCCTCCAAGCAGCTGTTGGAGGCATCCGTACTCATCTACTACCGCTGACGAATTTAATTTTGTTGGGTTAGGCTAGGCAATAAATAACGGCAAGACTTGGATTACAAAAGGCCCTTTTTGCAAACCCGTCGTAGCCGAAAACTAAATTTTCACTTCCACAAGCGTTCAATGCACCGATTGTTGTTGCATCTCACTGGATAGTTTTAAGACCAGTTATCACGATCAAATTAGGCAATTGGATGAGGGCCAATGTGTTCGAAACGATGTCAAAATACTAGGTCAGAATAAAATCCGGGAAGTCATTCTAGCTTCTTGGAAGTCATTTCAACTTGATTCTGACTTTCAGGATTTTATTTGGACTTCCGGGATGTCCTTAAGGTGGTTGATGTTTTTAAGCGAATTTTTAGTATCATTCCTGCTAAATTAGGTTGCTAGGATTGTTCTTTAACTCTTACAGTAAGTGTGATTAAATAATTATAATTGGAGCGTTGTTAAACGCTTGTAACGTGACCATTTAATTTGTTTTGCTTAGATGGAGGCTCTTAATGACACAAATTGTTCCAGATCATTATCCAAAAATCGATGATTAAATCATACAGGGCAATGAAAACCTGAACGTTGAGTCTACTACAGTTGCCACGATATGGAGCTTTTACAATATATCACAAAATATAGAGGTAACAGATAATCACGTCATGCGTTTTGTACAATATCATTACATGGTCATTACCCATTCAACCGCGTGCCTTACAAACATGTTTTTTGAGCAATTGGTGGCTTAGCAGTTATGCGATGTCATCATTTGATTGTTGTCTGGAGCGCTCTTACTTTCAATATTAGGACGTCACTGGGAGCTACGCACTTTTAAATCATCTAGATTAAAAACTAATTTCTTTAGAACTGCTCTTTGTGTTTAGTTTGTTACCCTTCTCCCGCACCTCCAATTAGTGCGGTTGGCTACGTACGGTGTGAAAGACGTTTAACATACATGACACTGATTTACAGCTTTCGTGACTGCAGGGATTCATATTATTGGTTCTTTCGGTAAAGTCACGTAGACGGGAAACAAAATATAAAACAATATAATTCTCACGACGTTTCGACTGCAACACAAGCAATCATCATCGGCTGTGAAAACCACAGCAAGAAAATTTTAGTTTTATATTTGATTGTTTCCATTCTACGTGACTTTACCGAAAGAACCAGGAATATACATGACACTATACACAACAATATACACGACACTACATAGTACACTATAGACTACAATACACACCACACTACTATACACTACACTACGACACACTACACTATTATTACTAAATATACTATACTACAATACACTACTTAACACTACACCACGATACTAAATTGAAAACTCACTTCTCTAGAACTGCTTGTTGTTATGTTTACTTTATTTTCCTTCCCCTGCACGTCCGATTAGAGTGGTTGGCTACGTACGGTGTGAAAGAAGTTCAACATACATAATTATTTGTAGTCTACTGTGCGTTATAAGCAGTATAGATTATACGGTTGTAATGCTTGGAGCAGCGAAGAGCAAAAACAATAAACTAAACATCTGAATACAATGACAAAGTTACGGCAAATTGATATCGCGATAACTATCACGTAACATTTGATCTCGTATTGTTTGATAAAAAAATGATATCATGGCACACACAAGTGATGGCACTTGGTCCTGATTGACATCGTCACCATGTAAGGGCGCCCCTAGGGAAATGAAACCGTATCAAGTGATTGAGGAGTTGCGGTCGGATCCACTTGGTCTTTTGAAGCCTCGCAAAAGCCAGGAGGCATATCATGAGTCGTCCTTCTCTCAGCGATTTTATGAATTTTCACGACTCAGGGTAAAAATTCGATTAAATAATTTGTTACTTTTTGTTTCGTTGGCATTTCTTCTTTGTTAAACCTTGTTCGTAATTTTGTAATGACAGTGGAGTCAACCTATTGTGTGAATGTACTAGTGGCCAAGGGAGGTAATGACAGGGGAGTCAGCCTGCAGAGCGAATGGACTAGTGGACACGGGAGGTAATGACAGGGGAGTCAGCCTGCAGTACAAATGGACTGTTGGCTACAGGAATGATCGAGAATAGGAGCGTGGCTAGGGGATGGAAGAGGACAGTGGAGTCTGCTGGTAGAGCGAGCGATCGAGAAGCAGCGAGAAGGTGCGGGAAAGAGGGCGTGGCCTCGGACCGTATAAAAGGTAGATGCGTCGGAGATTCGGGGCTGTTGCAGTGGGGGTCTCTGCCTGTCCGAGTGTGAGCACGTGGCTCCTTAATAAAGAAAACCTTCCCAGGACAAATGCGTTGAAGTCGTCTCCACACTGTCAAATTAGCCACAGTGGCGAGTTGTTTACTATCTCGCCTGGTATACAGGAGGTCGTTAGTTCGATCCCGACCTTGATGCCTGCTGTATATTTGGAGTTTGCATGTTTTCCCCATGGTGGTGTGGCTTTTTCGCCAGGTGCTCTGGGTTTTCCCACTACATTTAGAAACATTTGGTTATAAATTTTCCACATGATAAGCCATTTCTATGAGCTATCATTTGTGGCCAGGTCGCGTCTGAAAAAAATCTGTATAATCTCAGTGGGGCCTTATCTGGTAAAGTATTTTTTTAGATGTTTTGTTTAAATGTCATGTGCATACAATTTGTACGAATCACAAGTCACAACCTGGATGTGTGCGTTGTGAGTGCAAGGCTCGGCATTAATTAGTGAACAGTATGCATCGGTGGTGTCAATCCGTATGTGCTGGCGCACGGGTGGGATGGAAGCATAGCTCTCAGGTGTCACCTCAGAGCTATACAGGCCTCGGCGTTTTCAGTAGCCGAAATTTGCGCACCCGGAAATCGCACGGACACACCAACTCTCACACACTCAGCCATGAGGTTGGTTTTAATGGATAGATATACACGTTTCTGTTCTTGTGCGGTATTATTTTCACCTTTAGGCTATTTCATTTCTTCATGATAATACATTTTTATATGAAATATCGCACTTTTGCGTGCCCAACTGTCTTGCTGCGAGTGCCTTCTGTGGACTTGTATTCCGTTAAAACAATAAAGCCAACTCGTCTTCCGAGTATTTACCCAGGCCTCAATGAGTCTCCATACCTTTTCTGGAAAATTTTCTAACAAGTACCGCTCTTTGTGCAGAGCACTCCATTGTGTTTTACCAATAAAAGTAAACTCAAGAAAATCTCAAAAAGCCATTGTCCATTAAATACAGCAAAAAAAAATGAAGCATTCCCAAGAAAAATACGTTATCAAACTTGATTTCAAAGATGTTATTGTGCCAGCACCTATTAAGGCCGACATAGCACGAGATAGAAACACCCAAAACAAACGAAAAGGCACTCGCACAAAAACACAGGAACAGTATTCCCACGCAATATTACACATTTGCACAATTACATACACGCAGTCACGCAAATAAATGCAAACGCAAATCACGCGTGACTTAAAAAAAAACATAAATAGCTAGAACGTACAGAATACCTCAACCACAGCCAGGGCGTTGCTCGGGAACTTGATGCAACAACGGCAGCCACGTTACATTGGGGTCTTATTTCTGGCAGCTGATTGGCTGGTGGTAGCGGGAGTGATGATGTAACTCCTAGCAACCACCAACATGCATCCATCCTTGTGAAGTGGTTTGGACATGTGCGGTGCCAGGCATACAAGAGGAAGAAAATGCACATTGAACCAGGGTTATCACGTTTTCATACAGGGGGACCCATAGGGGAAGGTTGGGTCCGTCACCTCGCCACTGCGGAGGCAACGATTGTGTGTAGCATGGGGGGGTGGGGGGGGGGAGGATATCATGCAACAAAACCGAAAAATAAAAGCCATGCCTCCTTTATTAAATGCGTAGTCACCTTGCGCCATGTAAACTTCAGCATGCATGTTTTCCCACCCCTGGTTTAGTCCAAGCCCACTCCCCAGCTAGGCAATGCCTCTCCCGGGGCTCGTTGAAGCAGAACAATAGCCATAGCACTTGACGATCCGTTTTGTACGTGATGTGTCATACCATCGATGTACGACCGCAACTGTCGGCAGCCAAACCCGATGGTGACCAACTCTCGCCGGGTCATGGAGTAGTTCAGCGTTGCCCCCTTGAGGGTGTGCCTGGCTTAGGTGATGACCCGCTCTTGGCTCCCCGTGTCGAGGAAGAACTCCCGGTTGAAGTCGGGGTGAGCCAAGATCGGTGCTTTAGTCATTGAGCTTTTGAACCCCTCTGGAGGCCGACCGGCATTCTGGTGTCCGTTAAAAACTCAGGTTTTTTTAGACGAGTAAGGGTCAGTGGCCAAAGGGGGGGGGGGGGGGGTGGCGACCTCGCTAAACTTTACCTACAAAAGCGTCCGTAGTAGGTGGTCAGGCCCAGGAAGGAAATGTACTTCTCCACCGTTTCCGAGTTGGCTGCCATTCTTTGCACTGCCCCCCGCACCTTCCGCGGATATGTGTGGGATGCCCGCCTCACTTATTTGGTGCTCCACATACTGCCACCTCCTATTGCGGGAGGTGGCACCTTTTTGGGTTTTAACTTCAGGTTGGTCTGGCACCATTCCCACTGCAGTCCACGTATGACGAGCTCTATGCGAGACGCTGGAATGTGGCCGGAGGCATTGCTCAGCCCGAGAAGGCATGACGCAGAATTCAGAGGCCTCACGGAGTGTTAAAAGCAGTCTTTGGCCCAGTCCTCCTTAGCCATCTACACTAGCCATGAGCGCGAGGCTAGGGTAAGGTGTGAAGAAGGACTTCGACCCCATCACCAGGCTGTTTAAAAGCATCTTGGTCGATGTGTGGGATGGAAAAACTATCGATGACGGTTACGCTGCCCAGCTTTCAGTGGTCCACACAGAATTCTGTGGACGTGCCTTTTTTGACACACTTTAATTGACCTTGCCGTGCTGTCCGTTTATATTCTTTGGAATTGTTGAGGCTTACTATCCTCGGATCTACGAAGCCTAATGAGCTGCGATTTTCTACACAGACTCTCCTCGCATGACAATTCACGGTTTGTTGGAAAAAAAAAAGAGGTCCAGCTCCCCGGCCATCGTGGTCCAATATGTATGTTTAACTAAAATGTAATATCCTTTGGGTCTTTCGGTAAAGTCAGGTAGATAGGTTCAAAGAAAATGAAAAATCACCAAAGAATACGTTTGGATCGCAACACAAGCATTCGTCATCACGAATAAAAAGAGGCGGAAAGCTGCGGAGGCAGACTGTTTTAAAGGTTTAAAATGGGTGTAGTCATAAACGAAGTGGGCGTGGCTAGTGATATTAATGTGAGAAATTAGCAAGTTAATGTAAGATCAGAGGGCGACGTCCACCATGAGGGTGCGGAGGTGGCTATGTTAATTTGAGAGATTAGCATGTTAATGGGAGATGGCAGAGCAGCAGCTTCAAGCTCGGCGAGCGAGGCAGCTGTGTTAGTGTGATAAATTTAACCTGTTAATGTAAAATCAGAGAGCCGAACATCACAGCCAGTTATAACTTAAACTGGTTGATAACGTCCTTCCAATGATTACTCAGTTTATACTCATCTTCTCGATTGAAGTTGTGTCTGTGTCTGTATATGTGGATGGCTTCATGAACTAATCTTTGTTGATAGCCAGTGGGTTTGCAAAGTACCTTTATCGTAGATAAATCTATTTCGTGTGAGCCCACTGCATTAAAACAATGATCAACAACGGCCGAGGTAATGGTCCTACCGCGTTTCAGATCTGCCTTGTGTTCACGAACACGGTCCGAGACATGTGGCTTAGTTTACCCAATGTAACTGATGCCGCAGACACAGCTTATTTTGTAGACGCCGGGGTATTGCATGTCAGGGATCACATCCTTCACAGATGGGATCCGATCACGAATTGTATGTACTCTTTTAAATCGAAGCTGGATGTTGGGTTTGCTCATGATTTTTTAGATATTTTTGGTGACGCCTGCTATGTGTGGCCAGGTGATGGTTTTGATTGGGTCCTCAGATGGTTCTTTCCCATCAGTTGGGGTGATAGCTTTACGGATTGTGTAGTTTGAATATCCATTCATCTTGAGGGCTTGGTGTACGTGTTCCAATTCACTGGCAAGGTGATGATGGTCGGAAATACATCGAGCTCTTTGGTGTAGAGTTTTGATGAGGGAATTCTTCTGGGCAGTATGGTGGTGGGAGTCAGGTTTTATGGGTGGCTTTCCTGTGGACAGTGTCCCCTTGAGCCATCTGGTCTCCTTTCGATTAAAACATCAAATAATGGTAGCTTGCCATCCTTTTCCACCTCCATTGTGAATTTGATGGCTGGGTGTATGGAATTTATGTGGTTGAGGAATTGGTTCAGAGCTGGTCGGCCATGTGGCCAGATGACGAACGTGTCATTTACGTATCTCTTCCACAAGGACGGACGTAGAGAGGATGCCTGGATAGCATCTGTCTCAAAATCTCCCATTAAAACATTGGCTACAACTGGAGATAAGGGAGACTCCATTGGGGTACCTTCAACATGTTTGTAGAAGGTTCGATTCCAGGTGAAGTAAGTATTGGTGAGGCAGCGTCTCACCAGGGCGGGTACATCAGCATTCAGACCTTGTTGGACCAAAACTTTAATGATTGCATGCCTACGAAGGGTAGGGTACTTCAATAGGGATTACCGTTGGTAGGGCTATTTTAATAAGCTCATTAGACAGGACGGACAAGTTCAACGGGCACGCAAAATGCACATGCATCATGTACGTTGCCTCAGTAATGCCCCCCCCCCCAATGTCCAAGAGCGCAGAAGCGTGGTCAACACATCTACGCCTCTACATAAGGAACGAAAGAGTAAGACTTCTCCACAAATCTGGCTGTCGCGAAACGTCGTACTCAAGATTGAAAATGTTGTGGCCTGGCTCTCCAACACACGCGTGTGCTGTACTAGTGGCAAATTGGCACGTTCTGTTATACGTGACAACCCTTACTAGTTGGCTTTGTCGGGTGGTGGCGGGTTTTACGACACATTTATATATGTACGCGATCTAACCCAACAAACCTCTACTAGGTGTTAAATGGTTGTGATTGGTTGTCAAGACGTGGTTATCCACCTCAGTTGGTTCATGTCCTTGTGCAGAGTGTGTCAATAGTGCATCACGAATTTAATACATTCCAAATCTTGTGAAGATTTATTGCATTCTGGATCGAGTTCTTGTCCTCCTTTCTGTCGCCGTTAAAGCACGTTCAAACAAAAATCCGCATTTGTCTCCAAAAAAAAATATTAAGGGAATTGCATGGGAGAGAAATTTAATCTGAACTCACTCTTCCACATTAAAATAAAAACGAGCAACCCTCACAGTGACGGGAAGGGCATCACTGCACCGAGGCCGGCAATCAGTTTAATTCCCCTTCACAGCTAACATGTGCCACGAGTGTAATATGAACCAGTTGTAGGGAATGGGAACAACGTTTAGTGCGGGGTAGGAGGTGTGATCCCCATCATGCACAAACTCCACCACACGCAATTTATAGGTTTTATATTCTCTATGACAGATCGTTTCATGTGCGGTATTACCAGTTTAGTTAGTTCGATCGGTGAACCCGAGCCCACACCAAGACTCTGATCACATTTCCAAACATGCACAGGCATGCTCCAACTCCTTCTCTCACAGAACATAACACACAATCGCATTAACGCTATGGCGCGGTTGGGAGGGGAATCTCGTCAACACCAGTCGTGGCTCCCCACTGCTACAGTGCTGCTGTATTTGAGTCTAATATCTAAGAGAATAAACCAACACGAGTGGAATTGGAGGTAACCAATGCAAAGTTCGCACGGGGCGCCATCCCCCCCCGAAGGCCAACCCTGGTGAACTTACTTCTCTGTGATATTGTATTGAGCCCTCACGACTTTGCGTAAACATCACCGCTGGTGCTGGCTGGGGATGTCTACTTAAAATGTACAATTTATACCATCATGGCGAAGATTTTTGTGTTACCGATTTTAAGTGAATTTTTAAACAACCTGAACATTTTAAATTGCGACATTCGTTCATATGTTTAATGGTTCAAGCAAAAAAATGTTTCTTTAATTATATTCTTTTTGGGCTTCTAAGCTTCAAGTTCGTTTTTAATTCATTGCACTGTAAAATATTACTGCAATAATGCGTGCACAATGTTATCCAAACTTTCATGTTTGACACAAACAGTGCAATACATTTTACCTATTAACACGTTTTTATTTCAGATATCTTACTTTACAGCCGGATGTCGTTCGAGCCGAGTGAGGTGGTAACGTATTGGGTTAGAATTTCCACTCGCATTCAGACCTGTAACTTTACACTGTTGCACTACAGTTTAAGGTTACAATAGGTGGTTTTCCTGAGTAGGTAGTCTTCGATGTATCTGAGTTAATCTCGCCATCCTTCCGCACCCCGCGTCTTCATCCTCATTTGCCTTCTCTCGATTTCCACTCCACAGTTCATTTTGTTTATCTCACTGTCGTCAATTCTCCCAACGTATTCCACTTGTTTTTTTTAGGGTTAGAAGAAATGTAATGAACTATAAATATATATGTAACTAATCGTTAAATAATTATATATCATTACATGGAAAAGTTTATAATCCTGAGAAACGCTGTACTTAAAACATTAGCATTCAAAAAGTCAATGATCATTGTAAAGTCTAATTATACTCTTTGGTTCTTTCGGTAAAATCACGTAGGTATAAATAAAATAACAACGCAAGCAATCTTCATCAGGTGGAACAACCACAGTATTTTCTTGTTATTTTATTTCTACCTACGTAATTTTACCGAAATAACCAAAGAGTATGGATTCCTGCAGTCACGAAAGCTTCAGATCAAATCTTACTATGTTTCAAAACACGTTGAAATATTGCTTTCTTTCCTGCCACAAAGAAGTTTCCTAGCTTATAAGAATAGGTTTTACCCTTTCTGGAAATAAAACAGGTGTTAAAATGTAAAAAAACATCAAACAGAAACCTTTGCAAGGAATCAAGTCTGCATTAACCACACGTGGTGAACATGCAAACAAAAACATGCTCTGGTCATGTATGCATTGTCTTTGAAACTAATTGGTCCACACCAGAGACAGCCTCTTTATGGCCTCGTCTCAAACAGTGTTAGACCAGAGAACGCCAAAAAGGCGAACAGCACACAGACAATGCACTATCAGGGCATTCATATCTCGGGGTGAGCAGCTACATCACGCGACCGATCTTGCCAGTATCAAAATAAAAAGTTATACATGTCGTCTGTTGTGTTTCGGTCTTTATACATTAATTAAATGTGTTTTTCAGAAAAATGGATCTAACACAGAATGGTTTGATGACGAGAGATTGGTGCCAGAAAGATGTGTACTACTTGGCATAAGACAAAGGAAAGTGGAAACAAATGACAAAATGTGCAGTGGACACCTTTCTGCCCATGGATCATGATGATGATCGCAACAAACCAGGACAAGTAAAATTTCCCAAACTAGTCAGAACAATGTCCTTATCTACAGATAATGAGGAAATGAAAATTAAAAAGTCAGCTGGCTTCATACCCATTATGCAAATTCACCACTCACAATAGCTGTGTACCTTGTTCCCCCCACCCCAGCTACTGGGGAAATATGACTCTGAGCTCTCCCAGATTACCGAGCTCCTCACTTGATCATGGAGAGCGAGCCCGGCAACCCTGCAGATAAATCTAATTTTGGCTCCTTGTACCCATGACCTCATGCTTCGGTTATTACCCAAAGCTCATGACCATAATGAGGGTAGGAACGTAGATACTGCTTCACTACCATGGAATGTATATATATATTCTTGGTTCTTTCGGTAAAGTCACGTTGAAGGGAAACAATAAAATAATAAAATAGATATAAAACAATAAATGGAATGGTACAGCACCCACAAAACCGAGGATTCTGCACCGATCCGCCGCCCTCTCCCGCTCCCACTTTAAGTACCCCGAGGTACTTCAACTTCTTCACTAAGCTCAGCTATTCTCCTTCACTGTCCACCAGCTGGCGCTATTACACTACACATTTATAAGGGGCTTTTGTTTGGACCGTTATTTGTCTGGAACCTTCACCCAGACCTGTTCCTTAAAAGAGACCCTACCAGGGGTACAAGACTCCAGGCAGACATAGCCGAGGGTTATTGGAATACGCAAACCCCACCACCACCACAATAAGGTTATGGTCCTTCGGGGGGTTCGCAAGTTATGTTGGGGGGGGGGGGGGGAGGGAAATACACAGTCTGCATTAGCTATTATGAATTGTGGATTTGCATAATATCGATGCCAGATTTGTGTGTTTTTATATTCATTTAGTTATTCTTTGTGGATGAGGACATTGTTAAGAGTAGTTTGGGATATTTAACTTCCCTATCCCTGAACATATTTCCACATCTCCTATTTCCCGTTACACAATACACTTTCCTGATTCGTTGCTATATGTAGGTTATCGACTGTATTAATCTCTGCCAAACGCTCACAGAACTGACAACTCCTGCTGTAGTCTGGAAGGCTGGTGTCTTAAACTAATCACCAAATCTGTTCTCACTCCAGTGCTCACACACAGCAACTATTTGCAAGTTGTGTTAGGAGATTTGTTCCGAACAGCGGTTTGCATTCACGGGCTCCTCTTGTCGCTGTAGAGTTATAAAGAGTTGCGGGGTTTCGCTGCTTAACTGTGGGACTGTTACAATTGTCTCCGTTTCTGAGCATTTGTGCGAGGTCCTAAGTTAACCACATTTATATTCCTATAGCTAGGCGGGGAGGGGCACGCAATTGTGAATAGTGATTTGCATGATATAAATGCCAGCTTTGTGTTTTTTGTTCATTTATTCATTCTTTGTAGATGAGGACATTCCTTTGTATAGTAGGGGGAATTTAACTTTGCTGTCCCTGAACATATTTGCATAACCCATATTTCCTGCCACAATACACTTTCCTGATTGGTTGCTGTAAGCAGCAATTAAACTATAAGTGTCTGCCCAACGCTCACAGAGCTGACAACACCTGCTGCAGTCTGCAAGGCTGGTGTCTTAAACTAATAACCGATTCTGTTCTCACTCTAGTGCTCACAGTAAATCTTCGCAAAGTTGAATTGGGGGTTTTGTTACCTGCAGCGGTTTGTATTTATTGTATTTGCAGGCTTCTGATCGCTGTAGAGTTATCGAGAGTTGCGTGGTTTCTCTGCTTATCCATGGGGCTGTTCACATTTTCGCCATTTCTGAGCATTTCTGCGGCACTTTTGTGTGAGTTATTTTTCTTAAAGTTGACAAAATTTATATCATCGATACAGTGAGCAAGTATATATTTTGCATATTTGTATATTTAGTTTGACCATCTTATGCAGTAACATGCATATGTATCTTGAACTTCTTTCGCACCATACATAGGCAACCGTGCTAATGAGAGGTGTGGGGGAAGGACAACAAAGTTGAATGAAGTTCAATGTGTTCAACCGTTAAGAATAATAAGATATAAACAGTAATCGTTATATGCGGTGACGGTGTGCCACCAATGAAATGTGATAGGTCTACCACCGACTTGGAATCACCAACAGAATCATGCTGTGCTTTGTTTGTGGGGTTTTAATCTGGGTGATGCTGATGCCGTGTGCTTCCAGGTGCCGGTGTTGTGAGGACAGCAGTGTGCTTCTCAGCAGAGGATTGCAGTGGGATTCCACCAAAAAAATGGTCCGAGGAGCTGCCACACTCATGCCTTGAAATCAAAGAGAAGACAAAAACAGAGAGAGGTGAGGCTAGATGCTTCACACAACCCTGTCTTCTGCTTCAATTGAGATCTACTCCCTAACTAAGCTGACACACCGATATCGGGGATCCGACTCCGACATTTTAGCCCAGGGCTCGGCAACCTGGAGACTCTTTGGCTGCCCCCATCTCCCCGCATCTCGCTTCTCTGAACAAAATAGTCCCGTGGTTCAGTTTGCAATTGCGAGTTTGCATGTTAAGTCAATGTTTTTTTTACTTCATGGAAGCTGGTGAGCAAGTTGGGCATTCGTAAGTCGAGGACTGCTTGTATAGCTCAGTGAAGCTTACCTGGTAAAAACATTTTTTTCGTATTCATAGCTAATTTATAGTTATAATTTGTCATTTGCTGTATACCTGCTGTGGTTGTGTACAAGTCGCTCTGCGTGCGATGCGGCTCTCGAACTGTTTTGGTCAAAGACAAAAACGATAATTGCTCCTCTTATACCTTGAACTAGGTTGTTGGGGGGCGCCTATGGCGGCGAGCCCGAACAACCACAGCGTGCGGCGGCCCTCAACAGACGGGTCAAGTAAATCCTTACGATCCACTAGGCACAGTGTGCGCTGGGCCTTCATCCAGCAGTGCATTTAAGCACCTAAACAATTCCAGTAATAATGTAATGGACAGAGCACGGCTCTGCCTCAGGGCAGCAGTGGAGAGAGCGCGGCTCTCCCTCAGAGCAGCAGCGGACCGAACACGGGGGTCCCTCAGGGCAGCAGTGGACAGAGCACGGCTCTGCCTCAGGGCAGCATCGGGGGGCGTACATGTTTGGGAAGGGCTCACCTCTGCTTGGCTGGTTGCTCGCGGTCACGTGAGGCACTTAAACCAATCCGTGCCGCATTAATCACAGGCACAGAATGAAATAAATAATGATAGATCTGGGCTATTATATATTAGGATGGTTGCCGACTCCTGGTCAAGCCTCACCATCCACGCCCATTGTCCAACCACCAACTGGCACGTCCCCCCACTTCCTGCTGCTTACCCCCTAGCTCCTCAGCCCTCCCTTGGCTCCTCGATCCCTCATTTGGGATGTTGGCAGGCTCTGTTCATGGCTGAGATGCCACAAAACCATGCCCTCGATTTCTACCACGTGATGTACCCCCTTTCACCAAGTGACCCAGCCACCAATTCTGAGCAACTAATTGGCCCATGCCACCTGCAGTTGGCCCCCCTCTCAACCTCATAGCACTGCACACTGTACCAAATACATATTTACCTACATAATTGGTTTGATAATTGGTTTGGGCATCACAAGTGCTCTGTTAATGGAAAGACAGGACACTGAGAACCCCATATTTGGTCCACATCCACACATAACCCATGACTGCTTGTGTTGCGGTCGAAACGTTGTGAGAATTTTATTGTTTTATATGTTTATTATTTTATTGTTTCCCTTCTTCGTAACTTTACCGAAAGAAACAAGAATATAACCCATTTGTTGAATCTGTTCCCTTTGCTCACGAAAGATGGGCTATACTTGCTGCAGACGAAGAGCGGGCAGTCCTACCAGGCGTTCTGCGACATGAACACCAACGGAGGAGGCTGGACCCTGGTCGCCAGCATCCACGAGAACAACATCATGGCCAAGTGTACCACGGGAGACCGCTGGACCAGTCAGCAGGGCAGCAATTCTGCAGTTCCATTCGTAGACGGGGATAAAAACTGGGCCAACCTCAACACATTTGGTGTGCCCGAGTCGGCGACTGATGACGACTACAAGGTTTGTCTGCAATGCAATTGCACCTCCACCACTTGGACCCACACACTAGAGCAGGGGTTATAAAATTTCCCCAACTCACAGCCTACCTGATGCAGCCAGATCGTTTTATGTGACCCATACCTAGTGGAATAGTGCGTGAAAAAAACTGATTTCTAAGTCAGAGCAGGCACAATTACAAATTTGTACCAAGAAACAACAACAACGGTGTGCATCAGAGGTGCCTACCTTTGTGTTGAGGTGCAAATGAGGGCTTTTGCCAGAGGTTTATTAAGGGATTCTGATACACTCCCCAGAAGTAGGGGTCCTACACTGGGTTCTTCACATGAACCCTCACTCGTCTGTTCTTCGCTCGGCTAGCTCAAGGGCTCTCGCCCTCGAGTCGGACCGGGGGATCAGCCAACACCGACCGACCGGGAAGAGCAGCCACTTCTATCGCTACCGCCGGTTTCTCTCCAGACACCTTGAGCCCTACCCCTGGTTGTCTCTTCCACCGTTCGCTAACCTGGGCTCCCACAGTGACCCCCGCTTTCGCCCAGCACGCTTAACGTTACTTCCCATGACGTCATCGCCCCGTAAGGCACGCATGACGTAACGTCCCCATTCTACTCTACATTTGTATGGGTGTTAAGAGTGATAGTATTACAGTGCAGCTCGCACAGAGACACAGAGACAACACAGACATTAATACGCACAGACATGGAGACAGCTACTGAGACACACAGACACGAAGACACAAAAACACAAACACTTACAGACACACACAGACACGAATACATGCACAAAAAGACCCCCATCCAGCCTTAACATACTTTTGGGGAAACATGTTAGTGAGGACCTATGAATACCGGCACGGCACACGAGGGGGTTGGGTGACGAGCACCACTCCCGGCCGCATTTGTGTCCCAAGTGGCTATGTTCACACACTGCACCAGGTACTCACACACAGACACGGAGACACAGACACGTGCATATAAATACAGAGACTTTCACGCAGACACAAATACACTCAAGTGGTGGGGCAAATTCTTGTCTGCGATTTTGGCAACGCCATTTGATTTTCTAGATTTCTATAAGATAGGCATAAGAGATTGTGAATTCTCTAATCTACAATGCATTCTCACCCACTCATCGGGGGCCCAGAATGAGTTATTGGCTCTGTGCGTCGCAAACTTGGTCTCTTAAATGGCCAACGTCGAAGGCACCGTTGTCAGGGCTGCCATGCTGGCAGACGCCACACGCAATGCTCCTTCCCCCCACCTGGGTACCGTCATGGCAAACTACACATAGTAACCCCCTGACCCTACCTCTCTCACTCCCGCCCCCGTTCCCATTCTTATCTTCACTCACTCCCATCCATCGTGTCATCCCTTGTATTTCTCTGCCTCCCATCGCCATCAATCCACTCCATACAATATCAATTTTTTCCCATACCCCCCCCCACCCACCAACCTCTTCTCTCCCCCTCCCTGCTCCCCTCTCCCCCGCCTCCCCGCCCCCCTCCCCCACTTCACACGTGGTCTCTAGAATTCACGCTCTGTTTGTAATAAAACTGCTGCCACTCTGGATGCCTTCTCCACACACCTTGACGCCCTGATTTCACTAAAACTTGAATTGCTTCTATCAACACTGCAACCCTTGCTGCTCTCTCCTCTTCATGCAATTTATTTATTCACTCTCCCCGGACTGCTGGGAAGAAAGGTGGTGGTGTTGTCTCTTCTCATCTCCTCTATCTGGTCTCATTCCCCACCTCTCTTTCATTTGCTCTTTCGAGTTGCAACCCTCTTCTTTTTCCTGTCCTCATTCCATCTCATTCCTTAAAATGTATTGCCCACCAGGTCCCCCTGCATCCTTCTTTGACCATATCGACTGCCTTTTTGCCTCTATTTCCCCTCTTCCCCCACCCCCTCATTCTCCCAGATAACTTCAACCGCCACCTCAATTTGCCCTAAATCTCCACAGTTTTCCTCCCTCTAAGAGGCTCCTTTAATCTATGCCTTCTTCCACCCCCCCACCCCATCCATATGTAGTGACGCAGTTCGGAGACAGTAGTTATTGGAGGCACCTTCTTTATTCCACCCACAACGGGGACAACACACAGCCTACGTGGGTGTACACTATATATCACACAGAACCGTCTATCATCGGATGCACTCTCTAGCTAGAACAGTTGGTAGGCTGTCTAGCTAGCAGTGCCCATCGATGGTGAAGACGGTGGCAACGACGGTGGTGAGGGAATCCGCTTCCAGCAACAGCCCCGAGCTCTCGCTGAGGGCCCCCTCTTTTATCCTCCCGGAGTGGGTTTGCTCCGCCCTGGCAACGCCCCCCATCTGGAACCTACTGGCAGGTTCCAAGGGCTTCCAGATGGACCCCTCCATGAACTCTGCCCTAGTAGTCTTCCCCCCGTGCATACTGTCGTCTGTTAACATATGTACTGTCGTACACTGTAGTCAGCACTATTACTCTACACTATTACTCTACACTATTACTCTGCATTATTACTCTGCACTATTACTCTACACTATTACTCTGCATTATTACTCTGCACTATTACTCTGCACTATTACTCTGCACTATTACTCTACACTATTACTCTGCACTATTACTCTACACTATTACTCTACACTATTACTCTGCACTATTACTCTACACTATTACTCTACACTGTTACTCTGCACTATTACTCTGCACTATTACTCTGCACTATTACTCTACACTATTACTCTGCACTATTACTCTACACTATTACTCTACACTATTACTCTACACTATTACTCTACACTATTACTCTACACTATTACTCTGCACTATTACTCTACACTATTACTCTACACTATTACTCTACACTATTACTCTACACTATTACTCTACACTATTACTCTACACTATTACTCTACACTATTACTCTACACTATTACTCTACACTATTACTCTACACTATTACTCTACACTGTTACTCTGCACTGTTACTCTACACTATTACTCTACACTATTACTCTACACTATTACTCTACACTATTACTCTACACTATTACTCTACACTATTACTCTACACTATTACTCTGCACTGTTACTCTGCACTATTACTCTACACTATTACTCTACACTATTACTCTACACTATTACTCTACACTATTACTCTACACTATTACTCTACACTATTACTCTACACTATTACTCTACACTATTACTCTACACTATTACTCTACACTATTACTCTACACTATTACTCTACACTAGTTACTCTACACTATTACTCTACACTATTACTCTACACTATTACTCTACACTATTACTCTACACTATTACTCTACACTATTACTCTACACTATTACTCTACACTATTACTCTACACTATTACTCTACACTATTACTCTACACTATTACTCTACACTCTTACTCTGCACTGTTACTCTGCACTATTACTCTACACTATTACTCTACACTATTACTCTACACTATTACTCTACACTATTACTCTACACTATTACTCTGCACTATTACTCTTGCACTGTTACTCCACTATTACTCTACCACTATTACTCTACACTATTTACTCTGCACTATTACTCTGCACTATTACTCTACACTATTACTCTACACTATTACTCTACACTATTACTCTACACTATTACTCTACACTATTACTCTGCACTATTACTCTACACTATTACTCTACACTATTACTCTACACTATTACTCTACACTATTACTCTACACTATTACTCTGCACTATTACTCTACACTATTACTCTACACTATTACTCTACACTATTACTCTACACTATTACTCTGCACTATTACTCTGCACTATTACTCTGCACTATTACTCTACACTATTACTCTACACTATTACTCTACACTATTACTCTGCACTGTTACTCTACACTATTACTCTACACTATTACTCTACACTATTACTCTACACTATTACTCTGCACTATTACTCTACACTATTACTCTACACTATTACTCTACACTATTACTCTACACTATTACTCTACACTATTACTCTGCACTATTACTCTACACTATTACTCTACACTATTACTCTACACTATTACTCTACACTATTACTCTGCACTATTACTCTGCACTATTACTCTGCACTATTACTCTACACTATTACTCTACACTATTACTCTACACTATTACTCTACACTATTACTCTACACTATTACTCTACACTATTACTCTACACTATTACTCTACACTATTACTCTGCACTATTACTCTACACTATTACTCTACACTATTACTCTGCACATATTTCTGACAAGACTTTGGAGTCATTCTATTGCACTGCTTCCATCATCACCACTGATCTCTGCTCTCCTAATCACTGTCTCTTCACTTTGACCATCATGTTACCCTCCGACCTATCCCTTCTCCCCCATCTCCGAAGAAGAAGACCTCCGATTAGCTCAGTTAGCTATGTACGGTGAGAAAGAAATTCAACATACATATAGAGTATCTTCTTATATATAAAATTCTCCATGCATGTGCGCTTGCGAGGGATTTGGCTCTCGAACGGTCGGGTTTATGTAGAAAAAAAATTGCCAGCCGGCACGCCCTAAGCCCTGCGCGGGGAATGGGCTATTCCTTTTTCACGTCCATCCCCTTTAAATGAGTTCAATTGGCGATTTAGTGGGATTAAGCATTATTTATTTAGTTATTGTGCGACATCGACCGTTCCAAGTCACGCCAATTGCGTGGGGGGGGGGGGACCAAGTGATGCGCGTTCCGTCGACCTCACGGGGGACATTTTCTTTAATGCGTTTAACATGCAATCAATATACACATAACGCTGCGGCTATTTCTTCACAGTGTGATGTCCTCTTTGCCCCCCCCCCCCAACACGATGCGTGCAGTTAGTGCTATAAAGTCCGTAGATATTAATATTATTTCAGCGCTTAGATAGCATTATTGTTTACTATTATTAAACTAATACGTTGCCAGATATTACAATGATGTTTGTGTGCACAAAACGAAATTTTCATTATTAGCTTGATAAATATTCCCTTTTTTAGCTGTGCTTTTATCACGCTGCGACGGTGTATTGCCAGTCTGCCATGTGCTCTGCTGCCTGCTGATTCATTAACGTCAGTGCACTGCCACTATTATCTACACTACTAATTTTCCTTTTGACCATTATGAGTGTATGCCAGTCTATAATCTGTTGCCTGCTTCTTTACTTCACTTACTCCTTTTATGTCGACTGTATTCTACTTTTTCAGCTGCTGCCCGTATTGCCAGCTTTTTATGTCGACTGTAGCAATGCTTATGTCATTGAGTCGGCATACTGGCAGTCTATAATCTAGACTGTAGCCTCCTTCTCAACTTTCCTGTGCATACTGCTGCTCTTTAATTTACACTTATTTCTGGTTATTTCTTCATTGCATTTCTATTTCGATTTAAAGCTTTCGTGACTGCAAGGATTCATCTTCTTTGGTTCTTTCGGTAAAGTCACGTAGAATGAGAATAAAATAATAAATTGATAAAATAAAATAACACAATAATATTCTCACGACGTTTCGGCCACAACACAAGCGGCCGTCATCAGGTGAAGGGACGAGACTGTCTGGAGGACAGCGCTGGAGTGAAAAAGCCACGCTCAGATCGCGACCTTTAAGCTGTGTGAGAAGAAACAAAGAAATTGGTTTTCTGTCAAGGCGCTTTGTTTCTTCTCACACAGCTTAAAGGTCGCGATCTGAGCGTGGCTTTTTCACTCCAGCGCTGTCCTCCAGACAGTCTCGTCCCTTCACCTGATGAAGGCCGCTTGTGTTGTGGCCGAAACGTCGTGAGAATATTATTGTGTTATTTTATTTTATCAATTTATTATTTTATTCTCATTCTACGTGACTTTACCGAAAGAACCAAAGAACATGTTATGTATGCCGATGCTCTGGTGATTGCTGCTCACTCAGCGGAGGAGTTGGAGATGCTGCTGCTGATCCTGGAGCTTGCCACTGAGAGGTGGGGCCTTACCATCAGCCCCACCAAAACAAAGCACCTGCCTGGGTATTTTGTACCATCGGACACTCCACCCACACAACTCCCAATCGGGGATGGGGCCGTTGTGGAGAGATTGCAGAGATTCCCATACCTGGGCAGTGTGCTTATGACTGGCTCCAGTTTAACAGCAGAGGTCTCACTCCGAATCAGTCGAGCGCCAATATATTTTCATCGGCTGCGTTACGTTGTGTGGAAGCTACCTGGTCTGTCGCTTCGCACGAAGCTTCAGGTCTTCTCGGCCACAGTCATTCCCTCCCTTCTCTATGCTTGCGAAACGTGCACCCCACAAATGGAACATCTTCATCGGTTAGAAACATTTAAGCTGGCCTGCTAAAGATCCATCCTGGGTTTCATCATATGTGTGTGTGTGCGTGTAAGTCATTGTGTTTCTATGTGTGTGGGTCGATGTCTGTGTGTAAGTCTATGTGTGTGTCTGCCTTTTTCGCCCGGGCAACGCCGGGTACTCACCCTAGTGTGTATATATATAGTTCGCAAATGTCAAACATGTCCTGCTCTGGATCTCCCAAACCCAAATGATACTTAGGAGAAAAACATACGAACAATTATGGAAAGAGTCTGCCAATATAGATAGGAAACAAGTATAATTGTTTTTATGTTATTCCATGTGAAGGAACTGAAAGAAGCAAAACATATTTTGATTTAAAGCTTTCGTGACTGCAGTAATTCATATTCTTAGTTCTTTCGGTAAAGTCACGTTGAAGGGAAACAATAAAATAATAAAATATATATAAAACAATAAAAATTCTCACGACGTTTCGACGTTTCGACCATAACACAAACGGTCGTTTGTGTTATGGTCGAAACGTCGTGAGAATTTTTATTGTTTTATATATATTTTATTATTTTATTGTTTCCCTTCAACGTGACTTTGCCGAAAGAACTAAGAATATGAAGCAAAACATGTTAATGAGTCAATTATCGTGTCTGCCCCCTCGTTGCACTCAGTTAAGTGGCTCATCATAGCTGTACGCCTGTGTGTTTAATTTATTCAGAACCCGGGATATTACGATCTGGAGGCAAATGACATAGCAGTGTGGCATGTTCCTAACGGGACTCCTCTGCCTGCGTGGAAGACATCATCGCTCTTCCGCTACCACACGGAGTCGAAGTTTCTGGGTGCCTTTGGAGGAAACTTTTACTCCTTTTTCAAGGTAGAGTCCTTTGTCTGACTTGTGATTCATGAGATTGATAACTTGATATCAAAATTGTACTGGGGTGTTATATGCCTTTTGGCCAAACCACCTTGAAGGCACCAAACTTTTCAGATCTCAGAAGCTAATCAGGATAGATCTTGCATAGTGATTTAATAATTGACCAGCAAGGTTTAATTTAATGGATATATTTCTGGAGCTCAGCCCCAGATAACTCTGGTGGAAATTAATGCCCATTGACCAGGAGGTACAGGTTGTTATCGCGCCGTCAGGCCTTTACAGTGGATAGCAATGGACAGTGGAGCGATATATGTCCCTATGTATGTCTATGCCTCCACACGTATGCTCCCTACCTCCACCAATCTGCACTTGTCCAATGTGCTGATGTATGGCCAAGTACCCCGATGACCCACAAAGGTGTAGGTAGACCTTAATCTAGCAGTGATTTGACGAAAAGGAAAACGCATACATGATATGGGTGATCTTAATGGGAGCGTACACATGAATAAACACATTTTAAGTGGCGTAACATTGTTCTGTTGTTTTCAGGTAAATATTGATTGATGGTTCTCCTTTTGTTTGCAGAATTTCTTCCCGTTAACGTACAATTCCGGAAGCTGTCCCACCAATAACGGGCCTGCCTACCCCATTGTTTATGACCTTGGAAGTGACACAGTCATCAATTCTTTAATCTGTCCTAACTGTGTGGGTAAGTATTGCTTATACTACGTACTTTATCTGCGATGTGGTATGATCAACAGATTGTCAGAGTTAAACAGAACATGCAAATTCGTTACTAGTACAGCACACCGGTGTGTTGGAGAATAAATCCACAACATTTACAATTCGAGTACGATGTTTTTCCAGTAATTACAACTATCATCATCAGGCGACAGCCAGATTCGTGGAGAAATCCTCCGGTTTGGTTCTTACATAAGAGGGGTCGATGTGATGTCGTCAGTTGTAAGCCAATCAGGTGCAAAGGGCAGAGGGGTGCGCAGGAGGGTGGTTAATGAATGCATATAAATTACAATGGATATCCAGTAGCGGTCGGGTTATTCATATGGTAATCAACACACATTATACATGCACATTATGCATGTACATTTTGCCGTTTCTTTGTGTACACGGAAATTGCAGTACTTGTCTGCTCACAGATAATCACACTTGACTTATGGTAGCCTGTATAGGCATGCAGTTAAACAGTGTATTACTTGATAATTCGCCTCTAAGCAGCACTACCCATGTAGCTATCCTCTCATTTATGGATAGAGAGAGCATTATGGATAATTATGAATCATGTCGCGAAAGCCTACGTGTTAGGCAAGCTACATGTGGGTTAAAAGGGGTGGAGGCATTCATCTTCCCGTCAACCCATACGAGTTTACCCGGTATTCTTGGACAGGGAATTGAGTTCTTCGGCCCATATGGCGTACAGCCGTTTCAATACGGGCACATTTTTTTCGTCTATTTGTTTGTGTTTCTCCCTTGTGATGGTACTTTGTAAGATGAACGTTAAGATTTATAAGGGCACGGGGTGACCAATAAGGTCTGAATTGGTCTGTAATGAGGTATGGCACTGATAAGGGGTTGTCAGGTTTGATTTTGGGTCAAAACGAGGGTGGCTGTTCGCGTTTTTTTATTATTATTAAAGAGTTTAATTGTAAACTAAAAATATCCTGAGTGTAATCATATTTGACTACACTAGTTAGGTGCCGAATTAGGAAATAGGCTGTAGTTTCCAATAAAATTAAAAATAAAGGTTATTTTACGGCACCCGCAATTCCTAATGTGACGGACAAAGCGAGGGCACTTTGTTGGTGAAGTTCCCCGTGAATCGCAACTTCGCAACTGACCTCTCTGATCGCTGTGATTCCCCGATCTACCTGTTGCTCAATTTGATCCCATCCCACCCCACCCCTTGTGGACGATTGTAGGATGACCTTTTCTGCATTGAGGGCCCTTCGTTGTTGGCCTCTTCAACAAGTCTCTTGAGACGGGCACGGTGCCCAACATTTATCTTTACGATGGTTGCAGTCACCCCACTCTTGAACAAAGCGAGGTTTAAAAAATAAATCACTATCCTAAAGCTGTGTAAAAGTGAGCGGCGCTGACAATAATGTCGTACCCAGCTCACCGTGTGACCCATTTGAGCCTTCCAGAAATGCCAGTTGCTTCAATGTTAATGACAACTGAAGTTGATCGTTATAAATTTATTCAATAAATGAGACAATTTTCCACAGGTGGAACAGCAACAGGGTTTGTGCAATTCAGAGTGTTTAACAACGAGAGAGCCCCATTTGCCATCTGCTCGGGGTTGAAGGTCGTCTCCAACTGTAACACTGAACATGTGAGTACTTCAATACTTGCTATCGAGCACGCTGCTACACTGATGGCAGCACAGACCAGTGCATTCAAAATACAGTATACACTATATCATGGAACCTTTTTGCCGGCATCAAAGTATGAAAAATAAGAATAGGTTTTACCGTTTCTGGCAAATAAAGCACGCGTTTAGATGTTAAAACAGCAAAAAGAAACACTTCGGCCCCCTTGGTATAAAGTTTCTCGCCTCCACCATTCATGCCTCACTCCAGTGCACCTCATTCTGGCCATCTGGAAATCATCGGCAATCATCCCACTTCCAAAACCCGGCAAAGACCTAAATCAAGCAACGTCCTACAGCCCGATTTCTCTACTTTGCCCATCAATCAAGATTTTAGAGGCCATCATCCTTCCAATCATCACCACCAACTTACCTCCATCATCTCACTAATATGGCTTTCGCCCTGCACACTCAACAACAACAGCTCTTCTCAACCCAACCACCCAAATTGCAAACGGTTTAAATGAGAAAAAGCCCCCATCCCAAACTATCGTCGCTTCCCTTGACCTTACAAAGGCTTTTGACACCGTTAACCACCTCATGCTCATCAACATCATCAGGGTTCTATGCTACCATCAGGCTTGGTTTGCTGGCTTACAAATTACCTAAGGGGCTGCCAATCACACACTCTCTTTCGTGATATTCAATCCTCCTCACGAAACATTAATGCAGGAGTACCACAAGGTTCCATAATATACCCAATGCCTACCTCCACGATCTACCAACTCCTCCAAAAGGAGTACAAGTAGTCGGCTATGCCGACGACATCACAGTTTACATTTCTAATAAAAATATACCCAACATGGAAACCTCCATCAACTCCTATCTAAAACGGCTCAGCACCTTCCAAGCCAATAGATCGCTTCAACTCTCAACATCCAAATCAAGTCTCCCTTTTCACACCTGATCCTCATCAAGCCAACTTACATCCCAACGTCATAATAAACAACCAACGTCTCCCACTAGCAAAAACCCCAAAAATTATAGGTGTAACTTTTGACACCATGTTAAGTTTCGCTCAACACGGCAGAAACGTCCATGCAAAAGTTAACAAATGAAATAACATCTTACGAGCTTTAACGGGTACATCTTGGGGTCAACAAAAGGAGACTTACTCCTAATCTACAAAGCCATTGGACGTCCCATCATCAATTATGCCAGTCCCATTTGGTGCCCAAACCTCTCCTCTACAGGTTACCTAAAGCTCCAAACCGCCCAAAACCCCAGGCACTTCGCCTAGCCACAGGATGCCACCTCATGGCGCCCATTGACCATCTCCACCAAGAAACCAAAGTTCTTCCGATTCAAGAACACTGCAAGCTTCTCACCGATCAATATCTGGCTTCATGCCACTCGACAACGCATTCTTGCACAAAGCTACTTAAAGCCCCTGCATCTGCTAGGAGAATGAAATCCACCTTGCTTTCTTTAAGCTCTGCCAACGTGCAATCTTCTTTAAACGCTCGTCCACCAAATAGCACAACCAAAACAATTTTGAACCACTTGCACACCACTGCCACCATGCACAGCCTTAATGCCTACAAGCCCAATGTCCCTGGCCCGGGCAACTCGCACAAAACTGGCTCAACTCTCGATTTAAAGCTTTCGTGACTGCAATGATTCATCTTCTTTGGTTCTTTCGGTAAAGTCACGTAGAATGAGAATAAAATATTAAATTGATAAAATAAAATAACACAATAATATTCTCACGACGTTTCGGCCACAACACAAGCGGCCTTCATCAGGTGAAGGGAGCGAGACTGTCTGGTAGGACAGCGCTGGAGTGAGAGAGCCACGTTCAGATCACGGCTTTTTAAGCTGTGTGAGAGGAACAAAGAGCCTTGACGAAGGAATTAGCATAAAATTTAGCATTGAAATGGCTGAATGATTAGCTTGTGACTGGTCACAGAAATAGCTATGTTAAAAGTTAAAGCATACACATCCGCAGAGGCACCCATTGTTAAAAGGAATTAGCATAGAATTTAGCATTGAAATAGCTAAATTAAGGCATACACATCCGCAGAGGCACCCCTTGATAATGGGATTAGCATAGAATTTAGCATTGAAATGGCTGAGTGATTCGCTTGTAACTGCTACAGAAATAGTTACGTTGAAGTCAGAGCATACACATTCACCGAGGCACTTAGTACAAATCAAACAGGAGAATTTAGCATTGAAATAACTAGGCGAATTTAGCATTGAAATAACTGGGTGATTTGCTAGTGACTGGTCACAAAAATGACTACACATCTGAGCTATTCACAGTACTATATAGTGAACCAATAAAAACTAAAATATAAATTACCTTCATGTTATCAATAAACTCTATATTCTCCAATCAGCTAAGCTACCAACCATAAGTCGTTATATATCACAATGCTATATGGCGAAAAAATGGGTGGATTCTTACCCTCAAATTTCCGTACCACGGATAGCTACGGGCCCCGTTCAGACGGACGAGTTCGTCCATGGTCGGAACAGAGGAGGGGGAGAGAGACAGCTGCGAAGCCCTAGTATACTCTATGTTGTAAACCATACCATTAACCGTGGTGTGAGAGGTATTAAGAGGCAATGCTGGCGAAAGAGCTGCGGTCTGAAGGTCATCGTAAAATTACAATTAATTAAGAACAGAAATGCATTAACACATCTTTCCAGTGGTTACTAAGCCTGAATCCATCTTCTCGGTTGAAATTGTCTCTGTGCTTGTATATGTGAATGGCCTCATGAACGAATCTCTCATGGTAGCCAGTTGGTTTGCAAAGAACCTCCGTCTTGGAGAAGTCAATGTCATGTGAGCCCACTGAATTGTAACAGTGATCTGCCACGGCAGAGGAGTTCGTCTTACCGTGTTTCAAGTCTGCTTTATGTTCGCGGATGCGGTCCGAGATATGTCTTTTGGTTTCTCCAATGTAGCTACTACCACAGAGGCACTTTAGTTTGTAAACGCCCGGGTACTGTATGTCTGGAAGAGCATCTTTTACCAGATGGAACTAAATCACGGATTTTGTGTACTGTGTTGAATCGGACCTGGATCTTGTGTTTATTCAGGATTTTGGAGATCTTTTTAGTGACCCCTGCAATGTAGGGTAAGGTGATGGTTTTGAGTGGCCTCCACAAGAGGATCCTTCTTCATGACTGGAGTGATGGCTTTGCGGATTGTGTAGTCGGAGTAGCCATTAGCCCTGAGAGCCTGGTGTACGTGCTTGAGTTCACTGGTAATGTGTTCCTGGTCGGAAATGCATTGGGCTCTATGGTATAGAGTCTTGATGATGGCAGTTCTTCTGGGATGGATGGTGGTGGGAATCCGGTTTCAAGTAAGCATCTGTATGGGTAGCTTTCCTGTAGACAGAGTGGCTCATTGAACCATCATGTCTCCTTTTAATTAAGACATCCAGAAAGGGTAGTTTGCCATCTTTTTCGACCTCCATGGTAAATCTGATGGCTGGGTGTATGGAATTGATGTGGTCGCGGAATTGGTCTAGAGCAGGCTGGCCATGTGGCCAGATGACAAAGGTGTCATCAACGTACCTCTTCCATAAGGTCGGGCGTAGAGTGGCAGTCTGGATGGCGTCAGTTTCAAATTTTTCCATGAATACGTTGGCTACAACCGGAGATAGGGGGGAGCCCATTGGGGTGCCCTCAGTTTGTTTGTAGAAAGTTCCATTCCAGGTGAAGTATGTGTTGGTTAAGCAATGTCTCACCAGGGGGGGTACATCAGTATGCAGTCCTTGATGAACCAGGTCTTCAATGATAGCGATGGTGTCAGGTACCGGGACTTTGGTGAACAAGGACACCACATCAAAACTGACAAGCAGGACTGCATACTGATGTACCCCCCCTGGTGAGACATTGCTTAACCAACACATACTTCACCTGGAATGGAACTTTCTACAAACAAACTGAGGGCACCCCAATGGGCTCCCCCCTATCTCCGGTGTAGCCAACGTATTCATGGAAAAATTTGAAACTGACGCCATCCAGACTGCCACTCTACGCCCGACCTTATGGAAGAGGTACGTTGATGACACCTTTGTCATCTGGCCACATGGCCAGCCTGCTCTAGACCAATTCCGCGACCACATCAATTCCATACACCCAGCCATCAGATTTACCATGGAGGTCGAAAAAGATGGCAAACTACCCTTTCTGGATGTCTTAATTAAAAGGAGACATGATGGTTCAATGAGCCACTCTGTCTACAGGAAAGCTACCCATACAGATGCTTACTTGAAACCGGATTTCCCACCACCATCCATCCCAGAAGAACTGCCTCATCAAGACTCTATACCATAGAGCCCAATGCATTTCCGACCAGGAACACATTACCAGTGAACTCAAGCACGTACACCAGGCTCTCAGGGCTAATGGCTACTCCGACTACACAATCCGCAAAGCCATCACTCCAGTCATGAAGAAGGATCCTCTTGTGGAGCCACTCAAAACCATCACCTTACCCTACATTGCAGGGTCACTAAAAAGATCTCCAAAATCCTGAATAAACACAAGATCCAGGTCCGATTCAACACAGTACACAAAATCCGTGATTTAGTTCCATCTGTAAAAGATGCTCTTCCAGACATACAGTACCCGGGCGTTTACAAACTAAAGTGCCTCTGTGGTAGTAGCTACATTGGAGAAACCAAAAGACATATCTCGGACCGCATCCGCGAACATAAAGCAGACTTGAAACATGGTAAGACGAACTCCTCTGCCGTGGCAGATCACTGTTACAATTCAGTGGGCTCACATGACATTGACTTCTCCAAGACGGAGGTTCTTTGCAAACCAACTGGCTACCATGAGAGATTCGTTCATGAGGCCATTCACATATACAAGCACAGAGACAATTTCAACCGAGAAGATGGATTCAGGCTTAGTAACCACTGGAAAGATGTGTTAAATCATTTCTGTTCTTAATTAATTGTAATTTTACGATGACCTTCAGACCGCAGCTCTTTCGCCAGCATTGCCTCTTAATACCTCTCACACCACGGTTAATGGTATGGTTTACAACATGGAGTATACTAGGGCTTCGCAGCTGTCTCTCTCCCCCTCCTCTGTTCCGACCATGGACGAACTCGTCCGTCTGAACGGGGCCCGTAGCTATCCGTGGTACGGAAATTTGAGGGTAAGAATCCACCCATTTTTTCGCCATATAGCATTGTGATATATAACGACTTATGGTTGGTAGCTTAGCTGATTGGAGAATATAGAGTTTATTGATAACATGAAGGTAATTTATATTTTAGTTTTTATTGGTTCACTATATAGTACTGTGAATAGCTCAGATGTGTAGTCATTTCTGTGACCAGTCACTAGCAAATCACCCAGTTATTTCAATGCTAAATTCGCCTAGTTATTTCAATGCTAAATTCTCCTGTTTGATTTGTACTAAGTGCCTCGGTGAATGTGTATGCTCTGACTTCAACGTAACTATTTCTGTAGCAGTTACAAGCGAATCACTCAGCCATTTCAATGCTAAATTCTATGCTAATCCCATTATCAAGGGGTGCCTCTGCGGATGTGTATGCCTTAATTTAGCTATTTCAATGCTAAATTCTATGCTAATTCCTTTTAACAATGGGTGCCTCTGCGGATGTGTATGCTTTAACTTTTAACATAGCTATTTCTGTGACCAGTCACAAGCTAATCATTCAGCCATTTCAATGCTAAATTTTATGCTAATTCCTTCGTCAAGGCTCTTTGTTCCTCTCACACAGCTTAAAAAGCCGTGATCTGAACGTGGCTCTCTCACTCCAGCGCTGTCCTACCAGGACAGTCTCGCTCCCTTCACCTGATGAAGGCCGCTTGTGTTGTGGCCGAAACGTTGTGAGAATATTATTGTGTTATTTTATTTTATCAATTTAATATTTTATTCTCATTCTACGTGACTTTACGAAAGAACCAAAGAAGATGGCTCAACTCTGTTCAGGTTACTACTCCATGCTAGCCAATTACCAAAATCGAATCGACCCAAACGCCCCAAACTGCTGCCCTTTGTGCCAAGCAACGCCAGAAGACGTCTCCAATTTTCTCAGTTGCCCAAAACGCGGACCAAAAATTCAATCGATTAATCTCTGGTTAAACCCTTCCAAAGTGGCCACACAACAAAAGTGCGAGGAAAACAACAGACACTGGTATTATGGGCTAATTGACCGAGATAGACGGACTGATAAATTTACCACCTGTGCTCCCCACCGATGCTTTGCTCGTTTTTCTTTCGCATCACGCTTTCATTGTTGTTGGAGAGCGACTTGTTTCCAACTGTCTAGTAGCGTCCCTCATGGGCCTCCTCCACACACAGGGGCCGGTCTTGATTCCGCCGGTACCAGTCATCGGCAAGTCCAGTCAGCTCCACATCCTGAACCACATCAGCCTTTCTCCTCTCTAGCCCATGTGATGCCCGAGCACATGCCCACTCAAGTAAATGGCAATATGTGTGTGTGCAGTTCTGTGTAGGCGGTGGCGGCTACGTGCCTGAGGCATCCCCAAATCAGTGCGGTGACTTTAGTGCGCTCAACTGGAGCGGCTACGGAACAGGTGTGGAATGGAGCGCAACAAAGAAGCTGCTGGAATCCGCCATCCTCATCTACTACCGTTAAGCTGCCACCTGAAAAAGCGCCCCCGTCAGCAACTAAAGTGAATTTATTAAAACATTTTTACAGACATAAGGTTAGTCCTAGGGTAGGAGCAGGGGACCTTCCTGACTGGCGGGCCGAATGCTGCTTACGACTCAATTTCATACGGCCCACAATCGGAAGACCCAAACAATATGTATCCATTACTGACAGCATCTTTGCTGCACTAATCGGCGCATTCGAATGAAATATTTTCTTTTTACAGATATGTTTCGTATATTTAGAGTGCTCAGTTACTTCCCTCAATGTAAGGGCCTCATTTTGCTCTATCGACACGCACATTCATTTTTCAGTCATTATTGGATAATGCTTAGGTTTGTGTTAATGTTTGGTCTGCCAGAGATGATTTAAAGTCCTATTCGATCATCCATAAAAAACGTATTCCCCATCCCTTATACTCCGGATTGGTCATCCAGTTATGGTCAGGATGAGTAGATTGTCCTCTCTTCTAACAATTTGTATCCACCCCAACCCAGACCCATAGTCATTATTGCCGAGTCTGGCATTTTCACTTGTTGTTCACTTTTCACTTTGTGTTTTAAAGTTAAAGGAATTACCAAATAATAATAAATGCCGAGGCAATTTAATATTTTATTTCTGGTACACTATTTTTTTCCAGGGTGCACTTCCACTCCGCGACTGGGGTACCAATCAATCCGAAATCAATGCTTCTCTCCGCAATGTCGAAACGCTAAACATCAGCATAAAAAATCCGTTATCGAAATTTTTTACTTTGAATAGTGCATCGTGTCAGCTCGTCGAGATGAGTCGATTGCCGCATCGTCCCGACCATCACCAGGCTAAAAGTGATTGCTTCACCGGACATTATGCGAGAGCCGGGGTGCTATGGTACCCGGGGTACCGCCATAAGGTTCATTTTAAGAACACTACTTTCAGCGGTTTCAGATCTCCCACAAAAATAAAAAACAAATCCCAAATTTGGCCCACAAAGGGGGCGGGGGGGGGGGGGGTCAGTGGTGTAGCCATCGATTCTGCAGGAAGTGCAACTGCACCAGGGCCCACACAGGAGAGGATCGCTCAGGCGGCAGGTCATGAAGAGGGGAGGAACTGGACAGGGTGCCCCATTTCATTACCTGGGCCCAGTGCCCAGGTAATGAAATGTTGCCCACACGATCCAGCTGCGATGACAAGGTTACGTCAATGCTCTCTCTCCCCTTGTCATTCGGGGGCGGTGATATGGCCTAGCGGTAGCACGCTCTCCACCTCATTCAGATGTCCACGGTTCGAATGCAGCGGCCACCCCTGATTAATACTGAGGGTGAGATAATTATAAGAATCATCATATGCGCCATCAGCTTCGGAGTGGACGATACAAATCCCCTTACATAATCATCATCGTTCACAAGACTTGGTCATTGGGTGCCAGTGTCAAGATCCACATTGTTTAATTAAGAAATCAATCTGCAACTTACTCCATTGGGATTAAACGTAAGCAATCGGTCCCAAACTGGCAGCCTAATGCCCGTTTGCAGGCCAGGTACCGGGTCACCTTGTGCCAACAGGGCCAGCTGCTACTGGGGCTGCCCTGTCGAATGTGTTGAGATGAGATGTGACGTGAAAGGAGGGCGCTATTATAAACAAAAACAAATTAATCCTACAATTACTCTACATTCACTTGTTCTACTCTATATACACATGTAGTACTCTATATTCACATGTTGTACTAAAAAGCAGAGATCCTTGCATATTCCTACAATACCCTTATATCTCAAGTAACACTTTTATATCACGTTACAGTCCAACTGATATATTCGTTTACATTATACATGCTGCACTATTTCTTTAATTAATTTGCCATGTCTACATATTTGAATGCATACTCTTTGGATCTATTCGGTAAAGTCACGTAGGTAAAACATAAAACAACAAAAATCACGACGTTTCGGCCACAACACAAGCGGCCAAATAGAACCAAAGAGTATGGATCCTTGCAGTCACGAAAGCTTCAAATCTAGAATATTTGAATGCCTCAATAGTATGCCCCGTACAGCATTGGTCAACTTATTCCTAGCCTTAATCCAGTATCTGTGAATCCCTTAAGGTCACTGCTATTCACGAATTTTCAGGAGGCAGGAAGGTGTCACTTTCGCTGATAAGTGTAAGGGTGCCGCCACACATTTGAAACCATTGGGGAGTTTGACAGCAGCACGATCATGATGATGGGGGGGGCGGGGTTCCACATTCTTGTACTGTGGTGGGGGCCGCACGTCAGGGGCCGCACTAAAGGTCACCAGGGGCCACCGGTTGGCCCCGCGTGGGCCTTGCAATGAAGAGCCACTTGCCGACAGAGAGAGGCAGCAGACGTCCTCCTGTGGTTAGATTGAGGAGGTGCTACTCTGCCTCAAAAGAGTCGAACTAATCCTCTCCAGGTAAATAGGCCTGACAAGCCTTGGCAATTGACCTCGTGGTTAGTTAGCCAATCGAAATCCAGCACCGTTTCTGTTAATGGCCACGTGCTTCCTCACTTCAAAGTTCATCGAAAATCCACGTTTATTTTTGCTTTGAAGACAGACAAAACTTGATGAAAATTTTTTGTTCAATGATAGAAAAAAAACAGTTACCGCTTTCTGTCAGAAGAGGGAGATACGTCCCCTTAACTGTTGAATCCTCATCCGCACTTTGCTTTTAATCACCTCAACAATCCACGTGGAAGATTGAAAACCCCCTTTAGCTAAACCTCTACCGTATTCTGCCAAACTGCGTAATGCATACCTGTCAACCCTTTATCAGCGCCTAGCTTATTACAGACCAATTCAGACCTTATTGGTCACCCCGTGCCCTTATAAATCTAAAGTTCATCCTACAATGTCCCATCACAAGGGAGAAACACAAAGTAAAAAAAAATGGATTTTTTCGCCCGTTTTGAAGCGACTGTACTGCCGTATGGACCTGTAAAACTCAATTTTCCTGATCAAAAGAATACGGGGGTAAAACCGCGTGGGTTGACACGGAACGGTCATGGGAAAACCCCACCGTGTCTTGCATGTGTAGAGGTGTTAACTATGCGCTGTTGCGTAACCTGCGTTGCCACCAGGGCAGTGCAGCATTACCTCTGGGTACAACGGTTGGGGTCCAGTCGAGGTGAAACGGATCGTGGCCAGGGGTTTGGTGCGAACCAATCAGACGGTTCCACGTGGGAATGTATGATTGGTTCTACCTGGCCACGAAGGGGTATAAGACGGGTGACCCAACGGACCTCGAGAAGTTCTCTCTCCCTGCACGAAGACAGAAGACTGGGCTGAAGCCTAGCTAGGACCCTGGACCAGCCTCTCAGCCCTTCTAAGGGCTAAGGCTCGGCATACCCAGTGGTCAGGACACACCGGGCCAGCGGTGGGTCAGATAGCCTCACCTAGGTCCTAGCCGGAGGACTAGGATAGCGGGTAGACGTGTGGAGTCCCAGGTTAACCTCCTTAGGTATCAAGGAGGTTAGCGGTAGACGTGTGAGTCCCGCCAGGTCCGGAGGCTGTACCTCCCTAGGGTATCGGGTGAGGGGACCGAATATCCCTCTGTGTGTGTTAAGCGTTGTATAAGGAAATAATACAATAAACAGAGTGTGCCTCCGAAAGAAGTCTGCACGTCCTTACAACACTACACATGCTCCCTGTTAAATGTCTCTCAGCGAGCGAGATGAGGAAATATGTGAAACCAAACTTGATTTGAAGCTTTCGTGACTGCAGGACTTACTCTTTGGTTCTTTTGGTAAAGTCACGTAGAAAGAAAATAAATTAAATAATAGAATACGCCGGTTCGATTGCAACACAAGCAATCGTCATCAGGTATAGAACAAACCTAGTGAACTTATAGAGAGACAAAACACAGACACGGAGACACACAGACAGACACACAAGCAGAGAGAGACAACACAGAGACACACAGAAAGAGACACACAACATAGACACACAGAGACCCAACGCCTGTGTCGAGGCCTTAAATAGAGAGAGAGGGGGGGGGGGGGTGCAGAGAGAGAGGTGGGTCCGCTGGCGTAGAGTAATTATCATGTCAATTAGAGAGCTGTGTGGAAATGTGAAACCATTTCTTTTTTTAATAAATGTTCACCCTTTGCCTAATGCAAGTCAACAATCTACCTAGGAGTATAACTGTGGACATTCAACGTTGGGCCAACATCAACCGACGTTGGATCCCAACGTGGAATGTCTGAATCTCTTAATTCGAGGGATATATAAACAACGCGCTTTTATTTGTGCCAGGCGATATTAATAGGCGGCTTCATAAGCGAACAACTAATTAACGATGCTGCATTTTTAGACAATTCATCTCCTTTTGATTGCGTGGAGTTTGTGGCTTTAGCTATTTGCTGATCATTTCTACTCTTATACAAAATACAACCCGTGCTAATAAAACGTATGCCAATTTATGTACGTGTACTGACTTTTATTGCCGTCGGAACGACATTTTCAACACTTTCTAACCTCCGGTTGAAACCAATAATTGCATATGTTCATTGAAATCTACATTGAAAACTCATTTATTTGGAACGGATTTTTGTGTTCAGTTTTGTTGGCATTCCACCGCACCCCTCTGATTACCACGGTTGGCTACGTACGGTGCAAAAGAAGTTCAACAAACATAGATTTGAGGGTTGTGGTGTTAGTAACATGGAATGCACAGCCAGCTACCGCTAAAGTCTTCTTAAAGTACCATGTCATAGAGAGATTACAATGCTAATCACCGATTTTCAAAGTTGTCGTCGGTATATTTTCACGATAGGAAGTGCCCATTCGTATATGTTGCGTGTTAAAGAATGGCTCGTGGAAGCATATATCACAGAGCCACCTCTGAGATCCCTGAAAGTGACCTCTGTTTCACTCAGTAGGGGGCAGCTCTATCCCTCCTGTGCAGTCACTCAAGAGTACCATGTGATGCTCGGTGCGTGACAGTAACACTGACATTTAATTTGCTAGCTGGAGTTTAGCCAAATTAAGAGAATAGTTAAAGTGAATGCGATTTGTTTGTTTTTGTGTGCAGATAGACTGAGACCATAAACTCCCTGCCCTTGAGAACCTGGTTTAACCTCAAGTACATGCCACCAGCCTGTATGTGAACTCCAGATCTCAGATCGAGCCAGCTCCACGCTGACATCAAAGTCACCCGCTCGCCACTTCTTATTACAAATCACTGTTGCAACTATGTCGAAACCATACAACGTAGAGTGGTGCATTAACAAAAGAGTAGATGCTTGACAATAACAAAATGCATTGAATTCACGCACTTTTGATGCCTGGTTACGCAATGGCACCTTCACTAACTGCATGGAACGCTGCCGCGGTCGAATCGGTTACCGCGCCGGACTTGCGACTGACCCAGAGGTCGCCGATTTGATCTCAGGTGAAGCGAGTTTCTTGAATCCTCCGGTGCCTCCATCCACCCAAGGGGTATGAAATGGGCACACCGCAGTTAGTCGATCGACTGGGTTCCATGTGGTGGGGGGCTAAAGTGCGGGTACTCTCACCTGCATTTAATACATCTGGCCCGCGTGGAAGAGTAGGCCAAGAACCCCCTATAGCGGCTCTATAGAGAGCTCCCTCTGGTGGAGGCCCGTCCGCTC